GAAAAGTTGAAATGATATCAGCAGTAATAACCAAGTCATTATATATATGTAGTTATCTATTATGACATAAATATACACCGGTACTAATTTATCAATTGTATTTGTCTAATTAAAGGTTAAATGTTGTTTTTTTCGTTGTTCTTGTTGTTGTGGTTGATCGAACTGAGAGAAAAAACAATAAAGATCATGATTACAAAATATTTCGTCACTTATTTATGGAGTTTAGATTCATATAGAAAGAATATATATATATATATATATATATATAGACTTGAAATGTTTTATTATTATTATTGTTGTTGTTAAAATAGTATTATTGCTTTCAAATGGTAAAGTATTAGTTAACTAGACATTTCATTTTTGACCTTTAAATACTATTTAACAGAATCAGTGATATTTTTCATGATCTGTTAAGTAGAATAATAAAGGACTTCTAAGGAATTTCAAGACTTTCATAATTCATATTATGGATCAATCTTAACTAGATAATTATTTCAAACCAGTGAGCAGTAATAGGCTATTTTGTCATAGTATAAGATTCTTAAACGGTGCGTACTTACGACCTCGCTACAGATGATCGAATCCACTAAGGTTCATAAGCGTGAGGTTGTTGAGCCAGTAACTATAATGGAATGCCCACCAATGGTAATCGTTGGGATGGTTGGGTACGCACCGACTGCCAAGGGTTTTAAAACTGTCTGGGCAGAACATCTTACTGAAGAATTCAAACGTCGGTTTTACAAAGATTGGTGCAAGTCTAAGAAAAGAGCTTTCCTTAAATCCTCAAAGAAATGGTTATGTGAAGCAGGCCTTGCACAGATAAAGCGTGATCTGAAAAAAATCAAAAAGTATTGTACGGTTGTTCGAGCGATTGCAAACACACAGATGCGCTTGATGAAACATCGTCGAAAAAGTCACATATCATGGAAATCCAAGTAAACGGTGGAACTATTTCACTTAACCTTTAGAACTGTCAGCTAGCATCTAATATCGTATATGTTTAACTTCAATCAATTCATGACATTATGTAACCATTTTCTATCTTCCACGGTCGACAACTGTCTCTAAACAAACATGGTTGAATTGAAATAGTCACAACTTCTCATAGTCTACACCATGCATTGATGCTAATTAGATAACCGTTAAATAATATAAGGAATCTTTTTCGCTATACATAACTGATCTCAATAATCAGCATTTTTGTGAACCAACATCATGTTTCCATCTGATTTGAGTACGTTTCTTCCAAACACCATCATCATTGAAAGATGGAATGAAGTAACGAGTGGTTAATCATGATATGCGTCACATGCGATCTTTAAACTTCAGTTCTTTGACTTTACAAACTCATATATGATGATTTCTACATAAACTAGGTTTGCCATCGTAATTACTCTAATGCTTGCAAAATGTTAATAAAAAACTCTTTAAAGTCTCTTATTATTGTATGTTTGTGTTCCGGTCATGTTTCATAAAAATGCTCCATATGTACACCAAAAAGTTGTTGACAACAGACTTAACTATTTCTAGCTAATAAATATATGAGTATTTGGTTTAGTTGCACCCTCTTAAGATAGAACAATTATTTTAGTGAAAAGCCATAAAACTATCTAAACCTCAGTCATTGAAGAGATTTTACTACCACTTATTATTATTACGAACAAAGTAATCTTTATTGCAAAAATTCATAACAGGTGGAATTTATCTATAATGCGCGAATCGCGGACCATATATGTCTTGATTATCATCCCTCGTTGAACTATCTGTATTCAATTCCGTGGAGTTACATACTAATGTACAACAAATTTCCAATTCTCTCTAGTTTTCAATAATCCTTCAGATAATATATAAGCCAATGACGCGTACTATTCTTTATGATACCTTTGTCATGACTTACATTTCGCTCACAGTAACGGATGTTCTAAATTAAAAAAACTATATATTTCTTACAATAAAATTTTAATATCTTATTTGTATTGATAATATTTATTTGAAAACTTAAACTCTTATTCACTTGATATTGTTTTAATTGAATCTTTCCATTGATGTTTAGAACTGAAATTGTTCAGTCTGTTATTGGCATATGTGCATACTGTGCGTATGCCTCGATATTGCCTATATATTGCTTATAATGCTTGTAAATTAAGGCAATATCGAGGCATACGCACAGTATGCACATATGCCAATAACAGACTGAACAATTTCAGTCCTAAATATCAATGGAAAGATTCAATTAAAACAATATCAAGTGAATTAAACTTCACCCCATTGCACAAGCAAGTGGCTATCAGAACTCAGTAGCTAAGTGGATAACGCGATGGCGTTTGGAGCGGACGGTACTGGGTTGGAGTCCCGGAGTGAACATCAACTATGAGATGCAAGTACATCCAGCTGACGAGTCCCAAATAGGACGAAACGCGCGTCCTGGATTCCACTGCTAGCCACTATCCATCTTTGCTTAAACTCTTATTATTCATTACCATAATGTATTTAAGTAACACAACTTCAAGAGAACATCTTAGATAAATATATGAGTGAATCTATAATTCTAAGAGGTTTTGTTTTAACAAGCTTGGTAATATTCTTTAGCTCCCTACTGTAAAACAGTAATGTTCGGTTATCTTTTAAATCAACTATCGATTAAATTATCAATGAAGCTAAGTTACAAAAATGTTCTTTAATTATCTCAGTTATAATCCAATCGTATAGAAAACTCTTTATTTGATTTATCTTTAATTTTAAAAAAAGATGGTGGAAAACACCCGGTAAGTGACTACCTACATAGTCAAGTTTACCGATAGGATTATGTCTCTTATATGTAGAATCTTTGAACGAATAGTTAATAGATATATTAGAATAAAGTTTTCTTTAATCTAGATGATATAGACTTTGAACTAAGCAAATCTATTTGGTGATTGATGCTTAGAGTAAATTAATTTTGTATTTAAATATTATTTTTTTAATTTTAAAAAAATTACAGAAAACAAAACATTAAAATGTTTAAGCATAGTACACTTTAGTGTACTTCAGAAAATGTTCATGTAATGTAATGCAACTTAAGCAACAACGCCTTTTGATTTATGTATTTTATTATCACTTCACTTCATTATTTATATAATGTTTCTTTCTATTGAAAAACAATTTTTTTTGTACTAGAAATAATTCTTTAATAAATCTTTGAGAAAAAATATTATATTTCAATTATTGAAATCATGAGTCAATTGAAGTTAGACTAACATGGAAAATCTGGAAGCACTGGATGGCCGTTTCGTCCTATTGTAGAACTTCTCAGCAGTGGGCATCCACGATCTCGCCCCCCTTGGTAAGATTCGAACCCAGGACCTATCGGTTTCGCACGCGAATGATTAACCTCGAGACTACTGAGCTAGTCAGCATCGAATGGTGTTAATGTTTAACTTCGACCAATCCACGAAACGGCTGTTTAGTGCTTCCAGGTTATTCGTGGTGGTCTAGCTTCAATTGACTCATGATCTCAACTATTGAAATTACTATAATATCCACAAAAACCCCTTTAAATTTTATGTCGTTGATAACTTCACCCATAAATGAGTGAAAACATGCTGTGAAATATTGTAGCGGAATAGCTATTTAAGTTAGTAGTCAACAAGAAAATATTTTGCCCCCATAATTAACTAACGATGAGTTGTTAATACTAAGAATTAGTCGAGAAGTTGTAAGTCTTTATCAACGGAGGTGGTTGAAAGATTTTTTTATAGATGACCGGTCATTTTGTGTTACTCTATCCCAGCTAGGATAGCAGTGATTTGAAATAAATGCTCGGGATAGTCAAAGCATGATACAGAAGCAGTATATAAAGTCGAATTATTTAGGATTTTGTCTTGATAATCTGAAACGTAGATTTCCTATCAAAGTGAGATGAGTTATCCACTACTTCTGATAATATTTTGTGTTTAAATGATCATGTTGTTGTTTCATCTTCATAACGTAAATCTGTTTTTCAAGATCATCATAGTGGACATTTGGGTGTTGAGAAAAAAAATCTTTGGCAAAGCTCACTTGCTGGTGACCTGAGATAAATTTATCTACTTCTTAATGTCAATCGGATTTTTCGTTATTTTCACGTAGGTGTAATATCACTGACCGATAAGTCCTACATCACTTATGTTCAACTGATAATTTCCATCTATCCAATGATAAAACAATCTTATATAACAACATATTATACATTTAGTTTGATCAGTACATACGTAGTAAATTTATATTGATATCCCATTAGGTTGATAAATTACTTTGTATTATTAACTTAATCGTTTTTAGATTGAATTCCCTTTAAGAATCAATGTATCATATATATTGTATGAGTTATAAATTGTGGACTGTGTGCCCTATTATTGTATAGAGTAATGATATCAGCAGTTAGAAAGCAGTGAATACTCGATTAGATCAATGATGCATAAAACCAAGTACGAGCAGTGTAGAGTCCTTATTGGTCCTGCTTTCCGCCTAGCCCAGACAATTAAGTCCAGAACATCAATCTCAGCCTCTGCAATATGAATCATTTATTTGAAACATACTCGGTTTATATACCAATCAAACAGATCATATTGTATTATAAAATAGAAAATAAAATTTATACAAGAATTAGCAAAATGTGCCTGTGAATGTGGGAGATAGTAATTAATAGACAGGGTATAATTCAAGAATGGTAAATCGTATAACAATGGTTCATGGGTCAAAATAAAGCTCATAATAAGAGGAACATGAATATGAATAGTTTAGTTATTGAACAACTATACGATAAAAATATACGTAAACTAATGGTCCATAAATGGATCCCGAAAGTTACCATTCATTATGCTTATCGAGACATGACAGTATGCTAATTTCACTTAATTTTGTGAGTTTAACTATCCTTTTTTGTAAAGTATTTATATCGATCAAAATAGTTAAGATGAATTTACTTGGTAAATGTCGAAATTTAATAATACAGTCTATTATTATTATTATTATTATTATAGGTGAATGTTTCTGCAGCAAATCATCGTCCACATTATCCAATTGAATCAGATCAAAATACTTTAGATTTAAATTCTATAATTATGAATAAGAAATCTCATTTATCATCTGTTCATAATATAACAACTATCAAACCGATAGAAAATAACAGTAATAAACATATTTCTGAAATGAAACAAAATAATATTAATTCAATAAATGATTATCATGGTTTATCATCATTGAATAAAGATATACATATTCATACTGATCATAATAATAATAATAATAATGATAAATTAAAATTAAATAATTATACTATAGGATCGATTACACAATTACATTATGATGGTTGTGAAACAAAAGTGAATGATCCACCAAAACGTGAAGCCAAACAAAACAGTATTATAACAATGTGAGTATCTTAGTTTTATATTAAAATATTATGTTTCTGTCTCAATCAGTTTATGTTGATATAATAATCTATACTGAAAAAATAAATTGTTCTGATTTGTTTAAGAAAACTCAAACTCATTCATTAAATTGATAAACTTTTTAAACTCTATAGATATTATTGTCGATCTTATTGAATATATGAAGTGAATGATATTTCATGTAGATGTTTCTATTATATGCTTTAAAGTTAGTGTATTGTTATGATAAACATTGGTAAATTTCAAACAAACGAATCTATTCAGATGGAAACACTCATGAAATTAAGTAGCCTGGTTTTGTGTTAAAACAATAATAAACAAAGAAATTAATGAGATGGTGGAGAAGATTTGTAGCTCAGATGGATGATTTTGGTAGAGTTTTGTTCTTTAAGCTGGATGGTTTGGTGGTGGAACTTCGGGTAAAAGTAGACACTTCAATTCTACTTGAAGTTTGTGCTGATGATATGGTTCAGATGAACGATGAAACCTCCACAACTAAACCATTCAGCTCAGAGAACAAAACATTGAGAAAAAAGAAGTGAAAAAACTTTACAGAAGAATGGAAAATAAAGGAATTCATCATTCATTATGAATATCGAATATTTAAAAAAATACCTAAATCATAGATTGTTTTGAACCATATCTTCTAAATATTCCCGTATTCATTTTAAAATCTTTTAGGAATTGTAACTGACAGAATTACAGCTTTTAATATCGTTTATATTGGTAGTCTGGTTTTATGTAGTTCATCGCCTTGTTTTAATATGATCATTTTTACTATTTTTTTAAATGTCTATCTATTCTAATTTGTATCCCTTTAAATACTTAACAAACATTAAATTTCTAAATATTTTTCTGGTAGAAACCAAAGATTTTTTCAGATGTATATTGACGATTTGCAAAATGGAAAATCAACGTTTTAAATATTTTTTGAATAAAATCATCTGTAACATTTTTAAGTACGAAACTGATCCAAAAAAGTTTAGTATTGAATCGAGGTAATAATGTTGTTTGTAATAATCAATTTGATTTACATACGAAATTAATGACATATAATTAACATAATAAATGAATAATTAACATCGTAATATACTTTCTTCATGTATATTGTTACCAGAAAACAACGTTTAAAATAAACATTAACATCACATGTTTAAAGCTTACGATTATTCATGTACCCATTACTGTCTCAAAACGTAATGTTGACAAAAATTGTAGTTATTATTCAAAGTGAAATTCAACTGATATTCATTAATGGTAAACTGATTATCTGCAAGATTTTCAGAACTATAATTATAAGTGTATAATATTTTAAGCATAATAACTTTAGCATGAGACATGAACGGCATCTAAACTTCACTTTGGGATCCCATAATGCTTGTACCATTGGAGACTCTTTGATAAACACAGTGTCGAAAGTCAATTATCTTGGTGTTAACTTTTTCTCTGATCTCTCTTGGTCTTCTTATGTTTTATTGTTATCGAAGAAAGTTTTCCGTCTAATCTATTATATGCTCTTGGGATTACTCGTCATTTACTCTTATAATTTGTCAATTCTTGTATATTACCTATTATTCTTTACTGCTCTCCATTATTCTTTTCCGAGTTTTTGAGAAAAGACTTTGCTGTATTGCGGAGAGTGTTGAAGGTAGTTAGCAAGGTGTGTGGGGAATCTTTCGAGGTCATAATTAATATGGTTGTGGAGAGACATCTAAATTCATGCAAACTTCTGGCAGGTGTTATCTTATCAGATACTAAGCATCCCCTTCACTCATATCTTTCTCCTTGTATATCTTCTGACAGAACGAGAAGTAATTACATTACAATCCATGCACACAAGCAAAAGTATAAAAGTTCTATAACACCTTACCTATCAACTGTACTCTGTGACGAACAGGTTGTTAGTGTTAACCTAGTCAGTAATCTGCATTCCTAACGTGTCTTTAATTTGGAAAGTCGTACAGTTTTTCAGATTTTTGTACCAAAATATATTATTGAATAAAGCCATTATTAATAATAATCTTCCATCCGTACTTAATTTGTCACTTACTATAAACAGCTGATATTTCATTACGTCCGAACTAATAATGATTTAGATGCTGATCTTGTTTTTTCATTATTGTTGAAATTCATTTTGAGATACAATTATTTTGACAAGTAATATTTGTCTTATATTATCTCTGTTGAGTTTTAACACCGTCAACGAATATGCTATACCTTCATAAATTATTGTTTTATGCTTTTTAATCTGATTATTTCAACAAACTTAGGACAATATCATGTCTAAGGCACGCTGAGTACATAAGTATGCATAAATTGTTGAGGAGATCCAGAATACTCCTCGAGAAATTATCAAAGGGGCTCTGAAAACACTTGAAAATATTTTATCTGATCAGCATTGAATAAAAGTGTTTCAGAAACATCTAGAAAGTGGAGAGTTATGAGTCACATTTGTGATTACATTATTATTTATCCTACTACTATATTTAGTAGGGTTCCAGAACTTTCCAGAAACCCAAAGTCATCTGAAATTCTATAAATAACTTCAATTTTCTGTGGATAAACTAACTTTGAAGTAAAGAGTTCTTCTCATATTGCCCTTCTTTTCTGTTGTGTTCAAGTTGTCATGTAGATTTAGCCTAGGGTGGTTATTGGAAGATTTTAAGAAATCGATTTAAAGCGTTAAGTCAGAAAATTTATCAAACTAATCACACACATATATATTTTGTATTATCTTAAATTCATGCATTCATTTATAGTAAATACCCAAACAAAATACACCTTTTTTTCGTTATTAACATGAACGTATTATATACATATTTTCATCATACCATTTACTGAAATAAACAAATTTATTTTACAGTTAAATTGCTTGATAATATTGATTGATACTAATTGTAAAATAATCGACAGTAAAAAATCATGTTGTGTATATAACTAGAGTTTTCAAATTTTTAGATGAAATCTATTATTACCATAGAAAACATTACTTACTTACGCATGTTATTCCTCATGAAGGAGAAGAGACCGCCCACCAGCACTCTCTATCCAGCCGTTTCATGAGCAATCCTTTCCAGCTCTTTCCAGTTGTTATTCATCCTTTTTATATCTTCTTCTATTTCTCAACGTCATCTGTTCTTTGGCTTTCCTCTTTTCCGCTTCCCTTCAATAGAAAACATTACATGGTGAATAAGTAGGTTTTATAGACGAATAAAATGCGGATAAATGAAAAAAAACAAATACTTGATTTACAACATTTTGGTCTATGTCAAAGAAACATAGAGTTTATAACATCTAGATAAACTATTTACCAAATAAATTTCTACTTTTGATTTTGTACTTTTGATTTTATACTGAAATTATCCAATACAATATTTAAGAATTAGGATATTATTTGTATATTCAGGAGAGTTAGATGATGGTTAGTAGTGGAGTGTGGGATGAGTGTTTCATCTTGTTTGGATATACTTTCATCCAAACTGATGTTTATTCAGGGACTTGAAACCAGTACTATTCCCTCCAAACACTTAATGCGTTATCCACTTAACTGCTCAGTCCAGTTATCTACTAACTTGTACAATAGGGTGAATGTTAATTCATCTGTATTGGTTGTTTCAATTTTTAATTAGTATTTTGGACTTCGATTGATCACTCTGTTTAGGCGTATGTGTATCCTGTGTGGATTAACTCAAGATTACCACTAAGTCACAAGCATTATAACCAGAGTTGGATTCTGGCGAGCAGGTGAATCCAGAATGCTCGTTTCTTTCTATTTAGGACTCATTAGCTGGATGTGGATGCATTCCAGTGTTAATTGTTTATTTCTAAATGATCATTAATTATCAAATCTTAACGTTACTATTAAAATGAAGTACCTAGTTACGTATCGTGTGACATTTCTAATATTTTTCAAAGTTCTGATTTTTATAATTTATGGTTATTTTAGAAATTAAAAGCATTTTTGACCAAGTATAAATTTACATCTGTCCAGGTAATTGCATTTCATGGTGGTGTAGTGAGTTTGACAGAAAAATACTGACTGATTAAAATACAATACTTGCAAAATTATCTTACGAATACCACTGAATACATATTTCACAAAAGCAAATGAAAATAGATTGGCGATAATGGAAGAAAACAGGACCAGTACCCACAGAATGAATGTATCCATTTAACTACGATAAATTTCTGGCCATACTGATTAAAATCACCAATTAAAGACTATGATAATTACCTGGGTCACAGTTTAGAACTTTGTATACTTCAAGACGGCTAAGGATAGGAATAAAGTGCTTTATTAGCTATCGTGATATAATAGTGTGTATGTAGATAGCTCCCTAAACACCATAACTTTTGTACATATCTGTAATAAAAATTCAAAGTAGAACTTCAGTATTTCTAACCTAGCACATACGTCAATTATAAACATCACTCAAAAGATGTCTTTGATTGCATAGAAACAACTTCAGTAAGTTTGATATGTCTATAAACTACATTTTGGGTTTATGACGTAATACAAGCCATGCTGATACCCACTCCATAGTAAGCAACTTGAAATTTCGTGTAAATGATACACAGACATTAATGAAAACAACTCTTAGTAACTAAACACGAGTGTATTAAGTGTTTCGACTGGTAACAGAAGATCTCTTTGAATGACATTTGCCACAAAGTGTAACATCTAACTAATATCATTCGTGATTTGTGAATAATCTTGATGTAAATCCATTTTCACTATTAAATAGATCTGTTACTTTCTTTTGAAGTCTTGTGTGTTTAGTAAAAGCTAACAATGGAGTCAAGAAGGATTTGTGTGTTGCTTAGATTTGATTCACTGTTTAACCTAAGACTATATTGCTATTACTAAATGATTTATGCATGACGGTCATTGGTCGAGAATATTTGAAGTTTATGTAAATACATAAACATTAGGATAAATGTACTTTAACGTCAAACTACTTATCTAGCCACACAGATATATTATCTTTTCTTCAATCTTCTTAACCTTGTGCCGTCAGGTGTTTTATTTTCAATTGATAATACGTACTACTTATACCTGTCGACATCAGTAGCGCATACTATTATATTAGTGAAGATTAGCGAAATAACGATGATGATAACGATTTTAAATCTCTCACTGCCATGATAGCTTCTTTATCGTTTTTAGATTCTTTTGAGCCCCACTCATTTTACTCTGCTGTTCTGTCAACTTTTATGGTTGCTATTACGTAGTCTTAATATCAATATTCATTTTCTAGAAACGTCTCCAAGTGCTTCAAATTATTCCTTTTGAAACCTTCGCACTTAACATATAAATATTCTAAATATAAAGTTTCCGAGTTTGTTAAATCTCATTTTTTAAGAGGTTAAACTTTCGCGTACTAGGCTGAATGTCCTGAGTCCGATCTCCGCATTCGGAGTCGTGGATAGGCACTGTTGAGGATTCCTGTACCATGACGAAATAGCCGTCCAATGATTCCAGGTTTTCAATAATGATCTAATTCAAATCAGTTCGGGATTCAAGTGAAATTTAAATATTCATCCTCTTTACCATTTTACAACACTTTTATATTTGTTGTGGTTATTCTACTAATCTTCACCAATGTTATCGAAAGTATTCACATTGGTTATAAAGAATTATTACTAACATTTCATGATTGAAAGCGACAACTAATGAGAATCCATGAGATAAATAAAAGTCACACTATTCTATCAAGTTTTTCATTTCTATTTTATTCATCATTAACAATGGAAACAAATGTATGAAGAAAGTGATGACTTATATCAGAGATCTAGTTGTAAAATCACTATAAGAATAGGATAACAAAAATTAAAGATGCACTTACCAGCAGTTTAAAAGAAAGGTAAACAAAAACAAAAAAACAGTCAGATAGATAAACAGACAGATCGATAAATCGAAAGATAGAAACATTTCCATTGTTTACATGAAACTGTTTTCTAAAATCATCTATTTCCTTTAAAAAGTAAAACCGGCTAAAAGGGACACGTGTGTTATGATTGGATTAACTTGAAGTTTTACTATAGGCATTGGCATTTAACAAAGATTTTTGAACGTGAATTTAGGGTTCATTGTAACATTATGTCTGTAGTTATGGGAGAAATACTGCTTATCTCAAGGTTTAGATCATCATTAAGTGATACAACTGATGACATCATTTAGCTATTGACTGACATCTTAAAAGATTTTGATGATCATAGTAATCCACCACGCGTTTGTAACTTATCTTTTATAGAACCCACTACTGTATCTCTCATGAGAATAATTGTTTGGTGTCATTATCTAAAATAATTGAAATTCAGTGCACGATAACACTTTATACCGAAAAGTTTTAGTTAGTTCTATTACTAATTAATTCATTTGTAATTTCACAACTAGGAACAACCGAAATTGCAAACTGTCATTTGTTTGATCTATTGAACGAAGGCTTAAACATCTGTCATTGCTAAAAGTATCTATTTCCTTATGAAGTCTTGAATTAGTTCTGTAATATCATACCTAGAGCTCATTATACATTAGAAACCAACATTTGCAGATTATAAATAATTTGAGTAAGCAGTTATTATAATCAACTTTATTTTGTTAAAGATCTCGTTATATTATCGAGTTACATATCCGAGTCAGTGTTCATTGAATTAATAGTCAAAATGATCCCTCTAGACGGAAGTTTAGACAGCTTATGATTCGTATGAATTCTTAAATTTTCAGTATTGAGTAATCAGACGGTAAAATTGAAAGTTCTTGTGTAATTTATACTACATTATATTATATTAATTGGATGAGCATTGGAAACAATGAAGCACTGAATATCTATTTCGCTCAGACATGAAACTTCCAACATCAACGATCCTATTGAAGACTGAATTCGGGACCTGAAGGTTTCTGGATAAGATGTTAACCTCCAAAATACTGAGTGTAGTCGTGAATGTAAACTACCTAGGAGCCCCGTACCAGAATGTAACAGCTATCTAGTGTTTTATGATTATCATTAGTTGTATGGCCAACGACAGTTAACCTCATACTAAAAAATCATTTACACTTGTATCAGAAGCTGTTTTGTGGAGACTTTAGTAATTTCAGTAGTTGAAATCATGAGTCAATTAAAGCTAGACCACCATAGAAAACGTGGAAGTACTAGACAGCCTTTTCGTCCTAGTATGGAACTCTTCATCATCCCGCCCCCCACCGCGAGATTCGAACCCAGGACCTATCAGTCTCGAGCGTGAGCGCTTAACTATTAAACCACTGAGCCGGCATCCAACTTTTATTTTTTACTAAATTTTCTATCTTATCTAAATTCATAATATATGTTAGTAAATAAATGGTGTTTCTTGAATATTCTAATTTGGTGAAAACAAAAATGTCTAGACATTTTGACAGGCAATAAAGTAATTTGATGATTTTAAGCTAATCTACAAAATTATTTATAAATACAATTCTTAGTAGGTATGTTTATTCTTTGCCATATGTTATTAGATTTTATTTAATACATATAATCTTATTTGTACCTATTGATCAATATAATATGATGGTTTTTACCAGTATTACTAACCGATTTGTTATTTCATGTACATTTGATTGTTTCTTTCAATAATTTGTTAGCAAACGGTAAATGATCAGAAATTATGTTTTAAAAATCAATTGATACCTTTGGGTTGAATTCATGAGTCAATTGAAGCTAGACCATCATGAAAAACCTGAAAGCACTAGACGGCCGTTTTGTCCTAGTATGGAACTCTTCAGTGGCAGTGCACATCCACGATCTCACCCCGTGAGATTCGAACCCAAGACCTATTGGTCTCGCGCGCGAGCACTCAATTTCCGGATTACTGAGCCAGCATCCAGTGGTATTAATGTATAATTTCGACCAATCCATGAAACAGCTGTTCAATGCTTTCAGGTTTTTCATGGTGGTCTAGCTTTTATTGACTCATGAATTCAACTATTAAATTACTAAAATATCCACAAAACACCCTTCTGATAATAATATCTAATGAAAAACCACTTAATGTGTGTGTAATGCCAAAATATTTATCATCATTCTTTACTTATATAGTAAGTCATTGATAAACATGTGATATCTAATGGTGTTGACTAAAATGACAAGTTAATTAAATTTTGAATCATGTTTAACATATTTCACACTTGTAATATCATTGTCAACTAACTAATTCATCAATCATATTGATTATTATCTGATTGGTAATAGTTGTTTAATTTACCGATCAGTAATGATGAATCAGTTATGAAAATTTCATTAATCAACATTGAGTTTATTTTTATAAAATGATACGATAAATGACAGACACTAAAGTTGACATAATGATTCGTTAACTTCACTATAATATCTGTTTTATATTTATGGTTAATGTAATCATTCTTGAATCCTTATAACTTACTTTCATTATTGGATTGACTAAGAATAAGAAGAGCGTGGAATTAGTTGGAAAACTCTTAAAATTAAAAAAAATTTTTAAATATTAGTAATAATTTATTTAAGCGGTTAGTTTATCATAAAAATCCCTGAAGCTTGAAGTTAACCATAATATTCAAGCTATAACTTTAAAGACGACTTTGGTAGCGTTAGATCTTTTATTACCTAATAAGAATAAAGATTGTTTTAATTGAACATTTAGTAGAGCTAACAACGTTTATGTGTGTATCAATGATCAAGATTGACTCCTAGTTACAATATGAAAATATTCAACGAAATGTACCCAAAATCTGTTTCCCTCCACAGCTTATAATACAAAAAATAAACATCCTTAAAATAGATCATAACAAAATTACAAGATTTACAATTGAATATATTGTTTGAACTGTTTACATAATTTGTTTTCTTATTTTACCTAGTTGAACAATTGTATGATATCTATTCCGTGACATATTTGTTCATTAGTTAAAACATTATGAGTATTTTTATAGATTACCAACATTTCTCACTTGCTAAAAGAAAGCAAAGTATTTTTGACTATTGAAGCTGAAGCAAACATTTTTTTCACAAGTTTAAATGGTACTATTTAAACTTGTGTTATTTAAATTTGGTTATTTATTAGCTCTGAAGAAGTGGCTTACATTAAGTCATAAAACATCAGAAATAGAATTTCTCAACTAATTGGGATATAACGAAGAAAAAACAATATCTAATATTAACTCTCTATCCAATGCTCAATTTATTTATGACTATCAAGTCTAACCTTCAAAATGATACCTATGGACATATTTTTTCTCTAACAATTGAATGAACTACTTTTTATCATATTAGTAAATAGAGTTAAACATTCTGGTATGATATAAATGTCATTCTATCGTTACCATAAATTTAGAATACATTTATTTAATTACTAGTAATTTCAATAGTTGAAATCATGAGTTACTTGAAACTAGACCATCGTGGAAAATCCGAAAGCACTAGACGGCCGTTACGTCCTAGTATGGCATTCCTCAGTGGTAGTGCGCATCCACGATCCCGCCCCCCCCCGCGAGATTCGAACCCAGAACCTATCAGTCTCGTACTCTGAGGAGTCCCTCAGTAGGACGAAATCGCTCTTCAATGCTTTCAGGTTTTCCATGGTGGTCTAGCTTCAAATGACTCATGATTTAAACTATTAATTACCGGTGTTGAAAAGCATTTTTTGGAGGGGCTAATTCTCAACTTGTTTTTAATTTATTCACTTTAGTTTTACGATATGGAATACAATAATGGGTACATCGATTTTGGTAATGCCATGGGCTATACAACAAGTAAGTTATTTATAATTAATTCAATAATAGTACTTAGAAATACATGCATATTTTTTCAGTAATATCGATAGTTTTACCGGTACGTAGGTTTGTTTATAATAATAAGTAAAATTTGTAAAGTTAACTTGTATTATGTAATCTAAAGTTAGTTTACATCATTGGTTAATTTTAATTGGACAATCATTGAAAATAAAAAATACTTGTTAGGGTTAATCCATGTTGTAAACAAAGCTTATATTTAGGTAATAGCTGTGTGCTTGCTAGTGAGAAGATTTCCCGACATCATATCATGAAGCTGTGGTCTATGAAGTTTACCTTTGTCTGGCGTCAGACAATAAACGATTGTTGTTATAAGTCACTAATTAACTGAAGTTAGAAATGTAATGCATTAAACAATATACAAGTGGTCGCCTGTCACTGTGCTCATATCAGAGCTAGAATGCCCTCAATTTCACTCTTGGAGGTTTCACGAGTACACTCATATGTTTTCCAATGGTTGTTAGTTTGTACTGTCAACCAATTTTCAAACGAACAGTATTGAAATGTTCCACTATCAACAAATATATAGATTCGGCTTTCTCATTTTACACAAGTGATGATAATTACATAAATTATTTATCAGCCTACAAGTTAGTAAGATGGTAAATATTGTTATATAACATTTATAGTACTTTTCCAGTCATACACACTAAATCTTGTACCAAATATTTTTTAACAGGCAAATTATCAATTATACTTGTTGTGTCCCTATCACAAAACCTTCAGCTGAACCGTGGGAGTCAAACCTGTTATTAGGGACGAAGGTTGATCTATTGAGACAGTCCGAAACTGATCAAATGATGAGTATATATGATCCCCTCCTAAATTTTAAATTCTTATCATAGCAACAGAATTAACGAGTTTTGGTTTTACCTGACATTTACACCGATGTAAAAAAAATTTAAATAAAGTTTAATTATTGAACTTTCAAGAAAAAGTTTGCACTTAATGCAAATTTAGTCACTCTTTATCAAAACCATTTTTCATTACTTTTTCGTTTTTTTTTTGTATTACTCTTGTTAATATTTTTTGTCCATCATCAGAATTAAATGTGTATAGGATTGATATAGTAATTTTGTAATAACATATACAAACATAGACATTTTCCAATATCGTCCATCGCCATTTTTCTGTGACATTAAAATTTATTCAGCATTGATAAACTTAAAGTGAATTATCATTGTTAACAGAAAAAAACTATGCTAGATGTACAAGACAATAGTTATTTTAACTGTATAAATTCATAACAAGACCTGCTTATAGTTGAATTGTTGTGAACCAGAACTTGATAATCGTATGTATTTAAATACAAAATTACAGAATATCTTAGTAAAATCTAAGAACAAAACAATCAATCGTTCCAGACTTGATCGTTCCTTCCTTTATCTTCACATTAATGATTCTCTATTCTCATTTTCTTTTCTTTAATCTTCTTAACCTTCTACCTCTAGGGCATTTCACTTTCAATTGATAATACATACTACTTATATCTGTTGACATCAGTAGTACACTGCACAAAATATTATTCTGTATAATTTACATAAACTAATAAAGTAGGCAAATGTTTCATGTTTCATCAATTCCATATCATTGATCATCTACTGATTTTTTTTCAGTTTTGTTTTGTTTTTTCTTCTTCTTATTTTGTTTTTGTATGAAATTTTATTGAAAATATTATCAAATCATATTATAAGTTAATTCAATAGACAGATATAACTAACACAAAGAATAATGTATACTATTGTATATTGAATACATTCATAAATAATAAATAATAACTTATTTCAATGTGATCAATCTATTTTCGTTTTGTAATCAGTAGGTATGTTAATAATAATAATAATAATAGTAACTTTCTTGTCGTAAAAGTAGAGACATAGAGAGAGACAGACCGGCTTGTCACAATTGACTGATTTTGTTATTAATATGTTTTTTAATTCTTTCTTTCTTTTTTTTTCAATAGGCTGGTTTCGCTTTGGGTATATTTTTAATTATATTTGTCGCATTCATTGCTTGGTATTGTGGTTATCTTGTATTGAAAGCAACAGAAGATTTGAAAAGTATGTAATGTTTTTATGAGGATTATTGGTATTTTACATAGATGTAAATTATTTGTCGGTTTTGTTTTTTTTTTAATAATAAGCATTAGTGAATAGTTTTTCACATCTTTCCCCATTATTTTTGGAATTCGAACCTGTCACCCTGTAATGATTAATATCATTTAAAAAATAGTACAATCAGTTATTATTTTTTGAAGATGAATATAGAAGTCAGTCATTTGTGTTAGTGTCAGTCATTATGTTATAACGCCCCGTCGCCAATTTCATAACGCTCGGTATTACTTCGTCTAATGTTGTTATAACGCTTAAACGATTATCTACACTAGATCCCTTCCAGTGTCTATTCTACAGCACTTCAACACAATTCAGATCAAGAACACGTAATTAGCCTGATCAGAACGTAATATATTTTCACACCAAAAACCGACACAATCCACAACAAAGAACAATCATAATAAAAGGATGTATATAAGTGAGTCACAATAATAAGGGTAAGGGAATATATAACTTATCTGACACCTGTCAGACTGTCTACATGTCTGACTAAGCAGACAACCAATCATGATCATTCTCGCCTACACAACACATTATTAATGAACTCTATTCATTATGCTGTCAATAGTTCACATTCAAGTTTAATCAGAAATAATTTGTATATTAAATGTGTTACATTTTAGATTTTGTTTGGGGGTAGTCGACAGGAAACCCTGAACCCAGGTTTCGTGCTACTTGGCGCTCGTCAACAAGGTGTGCCTGTAATATTGAGGGAACTGGTGCTCCCTGACGGATTCGATCCGGTGTCACCCAGGACTAGACAAGCATGACATTGACCACCACCCAGTGATCAATCAATTGTGATTACATCTCAGTCCTACAGGAAGTCGGTCGCGGCCCGGATAACTCAGTGGTAACGTCTCTGACTGTGAAGCTAGGTGACACGGGATCGGATCCGTCAGGGAGCACCAGTTCCCTCGAGATTACAGCTACACATTGCTGACGAGTGCCAAGTAGCACGAAACCCAGGTTCAGGGTTTCCTGTTGACTACCTCCAACCACCATCTAATCTCACAATAGTGCCCGCAGTGACGAGTCACTTAGACTGGTGACCACATTGCAACATGGTAGATAGCATTCGACCTGCACTAATAAGGACTAGACAAGCATGACATTGATCACCACCCAGTGATCAATCAATTGTGATTGTATTACATTTTAAAATATTTGGTTAAAAAATATCTACCTAAACATCCTGAACGTTACGTTTTTTTATTGTTATTTTAATGTCAAAATACTAAAGATTCCCGTTGTGAAAATTCGAACAATACATAGAGACAAACAAGATTGATCATTGATTTTTAATATACATATAAAAGTATTAAACCAATCAACGCAGCCTATGAGTCAGTGATCAAAATGAAATGGATTGCATAACCAACCATTATAGATAAAATATACAGATTGGTTGTAAGAAGACAGGTCTATTGACAGTGATAAACATAATAAGGTTCAAATTAATAGTTCAATATAGGAAGAAGGTCATATGTGGATAAATAAACTTTAAAATAATCTCCACAAAAGATTAATAAATGGTGTAGTAAAATGTGTGTTAATAATGACAAACAAGTTCTGAGTGTGAAAAAAATGCAATAAAACCATTTATTAAGTGATATTCGGCTAAGAAAGGGACAGAGATTTCACGAATGTATTCTGAACATATATACTATGGTTACAGGTTTGGATCTTCATAAAGTCTGTTGTATATAGAATGTGATATTGAGCCCCACTAGGCACTGACGAAGGTATATGATAGATTACTCTGAATTATTCAGTTTTATGTACCGTATGACCACCATCATCCAGGTGTGGCAAGAAAGAAACTATATATACGGCGCTTCTGCTGTCAATTTTTCTTTATGTGTGGCGAAACCCTTCCGAAGTATTTTGTTCCCTTCGGAACTTATCATGTTCCCATGTTTCTAACGCATTTAACTCTATCGCCGACCTTTTCTTAAGTTTCTTTAAATCAATCGAGGAATTGCGAACATTTTTTAAACGTTGTTTATATTCCTTCAACCCACATAAGGTGTATTACAATCATGAAAGTTAGTCTCATAGACAAAATTCTGTTGTTCTTCCTTTGAAAACTTATCCTTAATTTTCACTAATGCTGATCTTATAGTGTAACCAGCAAGAAAATACACTCTTATGTTATGTTTGTTTAGAATCCTCTTAATTGCTTCCTATTTTTTTGTTATAATATGGGATGATTACGGTGATCTTCCATTTTTTCGGTATACACTTTAATTTTTCTTTTATTTGTAATAGTCTTTAAAAACTCTTTGGAGTAATTGTTACACAATGTTGCATTCAATTCAACCTGTTGATGATCCTTATCCTTAATGAGATTAATATTCCTGTTAATTAATTTTCTACAACGGTGACTTTCGTACAATATACATGAGTTAAAACATAATCTAACTATATCTCAGAATGTGTTGATCTCCTAAATATATTTACTTTCAACCTATTAATATGCCTTCTTTCAACCAAACAATCGAGAAACACTAGTTTGTGATCTCTGGGCTCTATTTCTTTGGTTGGTTTAATGTTAATATCTGCATATGATTGAATCATCACAGTAAACATTTGATTTGATTATTAAACATCATATATTCTTTGATAATTTTGATTTCATTTATTATCCTGAAGAAGTCTAGACAAGTTTGCTAGACGAAACTTCGAAATCATCTAAATTTAATCACTGAGATTATTTCAAATTTTCATAAACTAAGCAAAATCGCTTAACTGATTACAGATCAAATAAGAATTAGGACTTACTACCATGGAAAGAAAAGCATTACATAGAAAATAATTTATGAATGAGGTCGCCATTATTAATTCTCACTTCTTACCTAATCTGTACCCATTTAGTAGTCCATTACATTTTATCTTATATTTTAAAGATTACATAAGTATAATGATAATAGTACATTTCGAAATAATTATGTTTTTACGCTCTTATTCCAGAATTGTTATCTATTCAGTCAATAAATATTAGCATAGAAACAATACTTACAATTTTTCCATACTTTTGTAAATGTCTGAATAAAATACAGTTTTGATATTTATTATTTACTATTCGATTATGTTTACATAAATATTCGGTCATTCATAATCTTTATTACTGATTTAACCTTGGTGAAAATAAAAAAAAAATTGCAGGTCTATCAAGTATTAGTTATTAATGTTCTGCCATTTAACTAGGAAGCTTTTCAAACTATTTCATACCCCAATTACTAATAAATTTCATATTCATTTATTGATAAAGAAAAGAATGCCTAGTAAGGTAGACATATGATCTACAGGTTTATGACATATCTTAGTTTAAGGTTAAACAAATAATATAGATTGTTATTACAATGTGTTGTAAAGAACGTAGAATCACTTATTCACTAATGTTCCATTTACAGAGAACACTAGTTTTATCTGCAATTACGTAAATAGTAATGCGATTAACATAAGAATACCGGAAGTTTATTTGAAGGAACTACTACTACTACTACTACTACTACTTTGCACTTGTAATGTACAGTTTATATTCAACGACTTAATTGATAGACAAAAGGATGGCATAGCGATGGGATCCCCTCTTGGTCCATTACTAGGAGATTGCTTCATGACCAGTCTGGAAAACAACAACGACTATAGAAAACTTCCACTTGTGACAATGAATATGATTTGAGTCATCTTCTGAAGACATTTAATAACTGTCACCCAGCAATAAATTTCACACTTGAAGTTGGAAACTAACACTATCCGGCGTGCCTGAGAAGAGGTGGAAATGGCTCAATAAGAAGTTCAATAACCAAACACCTTGTGAACACTGGTCATTCAATGAAAATGCAGGTAAGCAGAAGACTTCCAAAAGCAATTATATTGCATCTTCTTGGTATTACCGAAGCAATAGCCATACATCTTGGGAAAACCAGAATTGTGTGTCCAAAAGAGATTGGTAGAACGTCTTCTTCGACCATGGTCTTAATGCCGTATAATATTTTTAATTTTCTTTCTTCATACTCTTCTTCCTTTATAACCATCTGCTTCCTTTTTATATCTTCTCCTCAAAATTTCTACCCCCAATTGGTTTATTTCCATTTTTACGATCCTCCTGTTTACATTTAATCTCAATCCCAAAATTTTCTCTTATTATGTTGAGCCAATGATAATTTCACTGTCTACCTATTGATGAATATTTAAGCCATTAAAAATTAAACGATTATTTATTTCAATAGTTGAGATCATGAGTCAGTTGAAACTAGACAACCATGAAAAACCTGGGAGCACTGGACGGCCGTCTAATCTTATTATTGAACTCCTTAGCAGTGAGAATCCACGATTCGAACCCAGGACCTACTGGTCTCGCGCGCGAGCACTTAGTTACTAGACCACTGAGTCGACATCCAACGATGTTAATGTCTAGCTTCAACCAATCCACGGAATTGAGCGACCCATCCTTCATTGTCATCAGTGATTTACTATCTCAAAACAGACCTGGTTGAACTCTACTAGTCACTGCTTCTAACTAGAACTCCACTACCTTTGTTTATTCTATCTCACTGTCATCATGTCCAATAGAAGTTTATTATCATTATTATTGTGATTATTATCATCCTGAAAACATAAGTATACATATTGGCAAGTGTAGAGCTTTGAAAATGAATTCGCCGAAAAGAGAACACTTCACTGAACCAATCGTTCTTATTTAATGTTAAACTCGTTCTCTATCTCTCTCTCATTTAACCATTCATTATGGTCACTTATTTATAAAATGAATATAATAATGAATTAATAGTATGTTAAACATGATAAATGTTTTAAATTGTTTGTTAAAACACCGGCCGATATTGATTATTTTATTTATTTATAGGATCATAAGAGACTAATTAACTGAACAAAAATTTTAATCACTATCGATGTTTAGATTATCAAATGCATGAAACATTAGAAATGATTATAAATGAATGTTAATTTGATATCAATGTCAAAGTTGAACTTGATAGTTTTAAATTAATTAAGCATTGGATAGAGTGACTTATATTCAGTCACGAATCATTAAAAACACAATTTTTTCTACTTATTAGAATATAACAAAACAATTTTTCTCAATGGTTGAAATCATGAGACAATTGAAACTAGACTACCATGGGAAACCTGGAAGCACTGGACGGCCGTTTCGTTCTATTGTGGGACGCCTCAGCAGTGCACATTCTCGATCTCGCCTCACGAGATCGACTCATGATTTCGACCATTTAAATTACTATAATATCTACAAAAACCCTTCTGATATAAAAATATATTTATTGTTAATTCGGATTGTATTATTATGCTTGTATAAAGATAAGAAGTTCTGATAATCTATTTTTCTAATCGCTCTTAGATCATATCTGATAGGTTATTAATGTTTAACTATATAGAAAATACCTCTGTTGACAATTTCCTATTGAGGATAGAATTTGAATTATTCAACTTTGCATAATGTATGAGAAAAGATCCCTTTAATCTCATAGATTCCTGACAGACTATTTCAACTTTAAATGTTAGTAATGTCAAGTTATTTGGACATTAAACCCTAAAGACTAGTGACCAATAACCATTATTACATGTCACTTATATCGGAATGCATCTTTACCATATTCAACCACGGTATATCGTTTTCTAAATTAGCTTTCATTGAAGCGTATCTACAAGTAAAAATATCAACTCAATCTTGTGAGCTCTTCTCAAGCAAGACATTGATGATCAATACTGTATACATGACTGCCAGCCGTATTACAAAACTACACAAAAAACAAGTTTCACGCATCGTCGGATCCGCAGCATATGTAAACTAGATTTTTTCAGTGAGCATATCAGAAACTGAATATGTAGGAAGAATTCTAGAAGTATTTTGGGGTAGTGAAGTATTTGTGATTTTCTGTAATATTATCACAAATTTCAACCATTCCTGTGGATTGTGAGTTATATTTTATTTATCTTTAAAGAAAAGAGGCACCATCCAAATCTTGGAGATATTCAAGCCAATAACAAATGAGATAAACCTCGAAATTATTATCAAATGATTACATAATCAATGAAATACTTGTTTCACTCCTACTGATAACCTTCAAAAAATAAAGGAGGAGAAATAGATTAGACATTTCCTATCAAAGAGTTCAACTAAATAGTCAGTCGTCGACGCTTCTGTCTTATGCGAGATTACGAAATCCTATTAGATATCTTTAGCTCCAGAAATGTCACTCCAGAATACTCAATGGACTAATTCGCAAAGAAACACCACGATATTCTATGAATATCCACATGTTTCTCAAAATATTATGTCGAAATTGCTAATTTTACTTACGACGAAGTTACGTTGTGATACAGTTTTTACTTTGTTTAAAAAAATTTGGTCTGAATAGTTTTACAACTCATATCATCAATTATATATTCTTAGAGATCAAATTTAGAAAAGCCCCATATTACATGTTTTTGAATGGTGGTTAGGAGTGGAATCCAAGACGAGCTTTTCGTCGTATTTGGTTCTCGGCATATGAATATACCTGGCTTCTAGTGTTGACGTTCATACCGAGATTCAAACCCAGTACATTTCGCTTCAGACTCCAACAAGTTATTTACTAGTCTGTTAAATATCATATTATATTTTTGAAGTAAATTAGTTCACAAGATTTCCTACTTTGATTTATTTTTTGATCCATCAGTGCCTAATAATCACTGTAAATTATTTGATACTCTCCACGTTATTATATATTTGTTTGATAAAACTCTATTTTCAACATAGTTTCAGCAATAACTATCGTAAATTAATAAGTAAATGCATATTTTCATAGTCCAAATCAAGAACTGATCTTATCTAGGCAACCACTGAAAACCAGAAAGTACTGGACACCAGTTTCGTCCAACGGTGCTTGTCAATGACCCCACCACAAGGAATCAAGCACACTACCTTCAGTCTCGCCCACGAACACCTAAATTCAAAAATATCGAGTCGAAGTTTAATGGTGTTAGTGTCTAGCTTCACTCAATTTAAGATACAGATCAACAATGTACCATTACCCAGATTGTTAATAGTTTTTTTCATTGCTTTATTGTCTTTTTTATCATTCTAGTTATACAAAATACTCGTTCATCTGCTGACTTGGAGTTTACAGACGTATGTCAATATCATTTAGGAAAACCTGGTTACATTTTGGCAATCTCATTTTCTATGTTAGCTCTTTTTGGCGCAATTATAGTCTATTATGTTTTAATGTGTAATTTCCTATATTACACTGGAGATTTTATTTACAGTAAGTTGACAGTGATTTTTAGTTTTTTGTTCCAAATTTTGAACTCTATATAAGTCTTATTTTCATGGATACTTCCTCTTAAAACGTGTTTCTACCTTTTTGATAATACTTCAAACATGGTTATATTATTAGAAACGATGCATACATTTCTTACGTTCATATTTTATTTAAGTGTTTATTCAGACAATTCGTCTGTATAAATTAAGCGTAATCAATAAACTTCTTATTTAATTAGTGAAAACCAGATATCAGAAATGGTTTGAATTATTTTTTCTAGTTAGCGTTCTTTTAATGCGAGTCTGTTTTCTACTGGATGGGGTCGCTAACCCCATGCCCAACCCTCCTCCTTTATCCGGGCTTGGGATCGGCAGTAGCCTACGGAGGGACTACAGGTGGAGTGCTTCATAAGGAGTAACAGGTGTAAGTAAGTGAGTAAGTAAGATATCAGAAAACATTTATGTTACTTTTGTAAGAACTGAACTACTTCTATGTATAAATCAATCCTTATATTTGAATAAATTGAACTTTAAATGTTTATTATTGTAATATTTTTTTATATGTCGATGCTTTCATAGTAAATGCTTTGAGTACACTTTTATGTTACAAAGTAGATTTACAGTTTTCAATTGTTGATTAGTGTAAATCATCCCGACATTTCGTAACTCAGTATAAGCCACTTCTTCAGAAAATAAGGAAATAACCAGATTAAATTAACCCTAGTTCAAATGGTACGAAGAAGTAAAACAAGAATAATAAATGTGATCATGCAAAAACAGGTATGATCAAGTTAATGTCATGTCATTCCGGTTAAGGTGATTTGTATGAGACATGTTTGAATATTTGTGTATGTCTCTGTACAGTAAAGGATGAAAAAATGTGGTGCAAAAGAATAGATCAATACACTCTTATGTCACATTAAAATGACGTATGAGAATGAAGATGAACACAGTGAGTTATCAATTTTAGATTGCTTAGTTAAGAGAAATCTAAATGGAGCTCTAAATGTAATTATCTACTGAAAACCAACGCACTCAAATCGCTTTATCGACTTCAGTTCGGTACATTCATTCAAAACGAAAATCTCTCTAGCCTTAAATTTTTTTAGAAAAGCAAACAAGGTCCTAACATCTGGAAAGGATAAACAAATGGAACGAAAGCATATGATTAACATCTCATAACATAATATTTTTCCTCTAAATATTATTAAAAGTGCAATAAAACGAGACCTGTTACTGCTAAATATTAATCCGAATAAAATATCATGGATTGATACTGTAGTTTTACTATACCACCCTGGTACAACAGAACTCCAAAGAAACTTGGAACAAAACAGAACTAGAGTACATTACAAAACATCGAACACACTTCGAAATACTTTAGTTCGCATAAAGGAAAAAATTCCGTTTGTATCAACTCAGAATTATTTCTACAAATTAGGATGAGTCGTTTGTGATGTTTTCTCTATTGCAGAGTCATCTCTCGAAATCTTGACTCAAGCCAAAAAAACATCTTAAATGAAGAAACAAATCGCCTAATAATCCCGCAGAACTGGAAACACTCCAAATGAAATCGGTAATAGCAGTTCATGTGATTTACAACAACTATCAAATCGATTTTAAAAGCATCAAAATAATACAAAAAGGTTTTTCCAATTACAAAGAAAGGAGAGTTTCTGAGGTTTTCCATATATTGCTTAACCCTACTGCCCTCACTAGAAAAGACGACCTCACTATCCAATTGACTTGGACCATTTATCCGAGCTACTGTGTCTGATTGTATTCACATCTCACACCATTATCATACGTAGAAATTCAACTCCATTCTTTCACACCATAAACGTCACATTTTTTCATCCTTTACTGTACAGAGACATACACAAATATTCAAACATGTCTCATACAAATCACCTTAACCGGAATGACATGACATTAACTTGATCATACCTGTTTTTGCATGATCACATTTATTATTCTTGTTTTACTTCTTCGTACCATTTGAACTAGGGTTAATTTAATCTGGTTATTTCCTTATTTTCTGAAGAAGTGGCTTATACTGAGTTACGAAACGTCAGAAAATTTAAAAACTTAATTCTTCTACTCATTAAGATATTATTTATACGACTGTTCAGTGCTACAAATGATTTCGTCAAAAATGATTCTTTCACTGAACTCATTGTTTTTTTTGTTCGAAGGGTATTTTGAAATTGATTTAACTTATTAATAGAGAGGTTTGTAGAGATTATTAATTTCACGAACCTATGTAGAATAAATATTCATTGAAAGCTTAGAAGTTGTGAATAAACATTTCTTAATGTATTATAATAGAGTTTTTTGCTTTCAAATGATGTCTTATGTGTGTTTCTATTTAGTTACATAAAAATTTTTTTTGTTTTCGTTTTATAGATAAAGTAAATAACGTGAATAATTCACATTTAGATCAAACATTCACATTGTGGAATAAAACATATACAGGTGGTAAGTTGAGTTGTGGTTTTCCAATTGGTTAGCAATAGTTATGTTTAACTTGTATTAGTATTTATATTTAATTAGTAGGTATTTTGTTCTGATAGGGGAACTTGAAAAAAGGTATATCGAGAGAATCAAAGGCAAGAGAAAATGTAGAGTTACTTACTTACGCCTGTTACTCTTTGTGAAGGAGCATAGGCCGCTCACCAGCATTCTCTGTCCTGAGCAATCTTTTCCCGTTCTTTCCAGTTGTTATTCATCTTTTTCATATGTGCTTCTATTTTTCAACGTAATGTGTTCTTTGGCCTTCCTCTTTTCCGTTTTCCTCCAGGATTCCAAGTTAGCGCTTGTCTTGTAATGCAGCTTGATGATTTCCGTAATGTATGTCCTATTCATTTCAAAATGTATAGTATATTGAATTAAATAGTTTATAGCTATATAAAATGTGTTTATATTAATTAACGATACGCTTCCTTTTAAGATTATTAATCAATCAAAAGTGGTCCACCAGGGTGCTTGGTACCTGTGTGGTTGCGCCACAGGATTGAGCTGTACTATTCAGATTGTAGCGTTATAGCTTATACGGTGTCCGGCTCCCCTGTTAAATGGGCTTGGGCTGTACTGTTTGGGTTGTCGCGTGAAAGTCTGGACGGTGTCTGGTTCTCCTGAAAACCGATGTAAAATTACCCTGGCCCACAAAGGTATATTATATAACTGTGAATCAATCAAAATAAGATAATGAATCAGTGAATTCAGTTTTGTTCTCAGACTAAACAAAAAAAAACCTAAATCTCTTCTACAAGTAGATGTTACATGGATTTATAACAATGATTAGATGAAAAGGAATTTATACATTAGTAGTCAACTGATATTCCGATATCATCTTAATTAGTAATAATGGTAATAATAATAATAATAATAATAATAATAATAATAATAAAAGAAATGCTCGAAATCAATTGAGGAATATTACAATCAATATCTTTTTTTTCTAACATACATTGAAATTGTAATTATTTATAAATGTTTCTGTTTTAATAATCGGTATCTTCCATCTTTTAAATTCAACCAATAAAGTGTTGTTTTTTTTTATCACTCCAATGGATACAAATATTTTTGTTCTTCATTTTGATTATATACATGGTACTTGAATTTCATTGTATTTAACTTTCTTATTTTATAGAAGATCTAAAAAATAAAGTATCAATAAGTGTAGTGTTTCAGTTTATTGTTTTCTGGTATTTAATATCGATATAATTTGTAAAACTTTTTATTGATAATGGTTGTGAAACATCAATAATTTGGTATTGATAATTATCTTTTTGAAACAAATTATAAACATATAGATTAATTTGGAATGTTTTAGAGGAATTGATAAAAATGGGAGACTAAAACATTTGACCTGGATACCATATGTTTATCTGTTAAAATGTAATTGAACGGGCAAATATAACTAATTTTGCAGGAATAATGTCAGAGAATTAGGCTAATTTTTTAGGACCTAAATTACTTACATAATTAATAATCAAAAAATAAGTAATTATTTGTTTATTTAATTAAAATAATATTGAAATCTACTTTGGAAAACAATAATAATATATGTTTATACTTTTTATTACTTATTTGCTTACTTATGCCTATTACTTCAAGTGGAGCACAAGTCACCGACCAGCGTTCTTCAGCCCACTCTGTTCTGGACCTTTCTTTCTAGTTCTATTCAATTCTTGTTCATTTTTCTCATGTCTGTCTCTATTACTCGATGTAATGTGTTATTCGGTCTTCCTCTCCTCGTTTGGCTTTGAAGATTTCAATTGAGAACTTGTTTTGTGACACAGTTGGGTGCTTTCTTCAATGTATGTCCTATCCATTTCCAGCGCTTCTCCTTGATTTCTTCCTTCACTGGGATCTAATTTGTTCTCTCACACAATAGGTTGTTGCTGATAGTGTTTGGTCAACGAACGAATGTATAATTAAAAGACTGAAACTAAACACATTGATTTAAATAAATTATTGTTTTTGAAGTTATTCATGACTCAAACTGCAATGTGTCCAATTTGTAAATAACTCGACACTGAGTGCATCATTATTTGATGTTATTCTGATTAGCAATAGTTTTAACAGAACTATTTCTTTTCATAAGAATAGAAGTGACATCTTTTATTTTATTCTACTCGGAATTTAAATTCTCTTAACCATCCAGTCTATATTATAAAAATTCCAATGATGTACCACACCTAGGATATAAGGTTCCTAAACGGTCGTCTCCACTTAACTGACATCTGTAGTTTAGTTGCTGATAACTACAGTATACAACTGCATTTTAGTTCCAAACAGGCAACTACAAACATAACAACAGATAGTTTTGTCATAAAATTTTTGATATATTAAGAATTCATCAACTAATTTGTGTTTATTGCACTCATTGTTGGAATGATAAAGACTAATTGTACTAGTTCTACTTTAATGGATCTCTTCTAACTGATATTAGATGTAAAGTGATAGTCGGAAATAATACTAGGATAAATTGACACTTGTACGCTTATGACAATTATTAACTTATGAAATGTATGAAAGAGATATAAATAAATAGCTAGAATATAAAATAATACTTGAACTGGATAAAATGCGTAATAGTAGGATAAAAATATTGGATTTAACGTTATAAACTTGGAGAGATCGACTATTATTAACGTTTTACTACTTGAAATCATCGTTTTATTTAGTAAATATGGTCTATTGTAAGTTACAGGTTATAGCTGTGGAGATTGTTGAATTTCATCTAAATCATCAGCCGATCAATGTGAGACTACTATTAAAAACCTGGAAGCACTAGACGGCCGTTTTGTTATAGTATGGGACTACTTAATAATACACAATATGAAGCCATGATTACTGGTGTTCAACCGTGTAGTTGGTGGAACAGTTACCCACCGAAGACAATAGAAGATTGTGGTGCGACGTCGTGAATTGGTCGGAGTCAGACATCAACTCCGTTTGGTGCTGACTTAGTAGTTTAGAGGTTAAGCATTCACTAGCGAGGCCAAAGCTCCTGTGTTAAGGTCCCAGGTGCAGGGTTGTGAATAAACACTGCTGACGAATCCCGCACTAAGATGAAACGGCCTTTCACTGTTTCTAGGTTTCTAAATGTAGTTTAATATTTTAATTTTATCAATTTCTCATTCAGGATTACTTAGTTACAGTTTGCATTATTGCATAACTTTAACTAAACTATCGATAAAAATTAGTATAGACTACATAGCTGGTTTATCCTAGTGTAACATCATTAATCAAACTCAGAAACAATCAGAATACTTCCTTTAAAACAAATAGATTTACATTTCAACTCACGAACTTAGCTAATCATCATCTATAAGATGATGGTTGGAGGTAGTCAACAAGAAACACTGGACCTAGGTTTCGTGCTACTTGGCACTCGTCAGCAAGGTATACCTGTAATCTTGATGGAACTGATGCTCCCTGACAGATTCGATTCCATGTCACCCAGTTTCACAGTTAGAGACGTTACCGTTGAAGAGATATTTCCGCAAACATATATATATATATATATATATATATAGACTTTTGAAAATTTAGTTAAAATGATAAACATTTATTCATTATTCATAATGAATAGATTCTAACAAACGCTTCAATATTATTTATTATTCAAGTTAGAATATCTTATTATAATAAACTTATTATTCATATTAAGTTAATAATTTAAAGTGTAATTAACCAAAATATCATCATCGGTTATTATTAAGACATGAAATGAGAAATTATTCTTATTCATAATAATATAGACTATTACTTTATATGCTATACACCCATATACTGAATACATTCGTACTATAATAATAATAATAATAATAATAATAATAATGATAATAATAGTAACCGTTACTATTATTATTATCATTATTCCGGTTATTGGAATATAAAACACCATTACATTTCAATGATAAATACACATTACTATTTAATATATAAGAATAGAAATGACAATAAATAACTTCAATGCTTAGGAATGTTTACCATTAATTAATATTCATATTATATTTAAAATACTTTTGACAGGGATGTGAACATGTTGTAATAATACTTATGCATATATACATATATATCTATGAATATAACTCATGAATACAGTTGGTATTTGACAGTCAACATCATAGAAATGAAATAATTTCATAATGATAATTTATTGTTTCAGACTCATTGTATAAAAATGGAAAGTATTTACTTCTTTCAATATTGTTTTGTTCTTATTTCATATAATGTTATTTATATTTAGTAAACAATTGTCTATAGAAATATTTAATATATTGTTTATATGTAAATATTTGTTGTATCCAAGTCGTAATAGTAGTAGTACTACTACTACTACTACTACTACTACTACTAATAATAATAATAATAATAATAATAATAATAGTAATGGTAATGGTAATCGAAGTGAATGATTCAATCTTGAGTATGTTTACTTGTTTATGATACATACTTGAATTGAATTTTCTCATTTAAGTATAAAGAAAACATTTTTATCATGAGAAAAAATTCCGATTTAGAATTTACATCATAAATCTTTTATTTCAAAAATAAAAAGTAAAGAAAAAAAAGAAAAGAAAAAAGGAAAAGAATATTTATTATTTATGATAATCGTAAATTGATTCAGGGGAATTTCAATATTCATAGATTAATTGATTTGTAATATTTTATTTGGAATCAACTAATTTTGTATATAACACAATGAATAATTTGCTTAATTGATAAGTTTTGAATAGTACAAAATGAATGTTTTAAATTTCGTTGTTCACTAATGTCTGATTTAAACTTAACAGGTTAATGAAGATTTATATGGTTATTAAGGTTTAAACTATCGAATTATCTTTAATATATCGTGCAGTCAAGTTAAATATTTATGTATAAAAACATGTTCAATAACTTAATAAATAATCTATATGTAATTTCAGTAATTGAGATGATGAGTCAATTGAAACTAGACCATCATGGAAAAACTGGGGGCATTGGACGGCCGTTTCGTCCTATTGTGGGACTCCCCAGTGACAGTGCGCATCCATGACCCCGCCTCTCGGGATTCGAACGCAGGACTTATCAGTCTTGCACCAGGCGCTTATCCAACTAGACCACTCATTTTACATGTTACTATCAGTTGTGTTTATAGATTTAAATGTATGTTACAAAGAGTTTTTATCAGTCTGAAAGAAATAAGATATTATTCTGAATATTTTGAACATATTCCATACACCATTCTATGTAGAAATTTAAGAATCTTACGAAGCTCAATTCGAATATAACATATCAGGTTGAACTATGAAACCTTTTAATATGAATGATGAACAAACAACTCCTTATGTTTTGAAAAAAAGCGTAAGAGACGTGACTGTGTTTTAAAGAAAACAGTTAGAAATCCTTTTTGACTTAACGACCCAATGTATTTTATAAATATCCGTGTTCAGAGTCTCTAAAAATACAAAAGATAACATCAGGAAATGTTTCACTCAATCATTATTGGGTAGAAACTTAACAGAAACATTGAGAAAATGAAGAGTCACACATCATGTTTATGATTGAGATATTACCATTATTAAAGTTCGAATGTTCCAGAAATACACTTTATTTTCTGTTTGTTTCAAATATTGAAGAAGAGCCCTTACTCACAATTCACACTTTTTCTTAATTATTTGAGTTGAAGTGTAGAAGTAGTGTAGGGTTGTAGGAAGTGTATACGAAGTCAGTCACATGGCAGGCTTGTCATATACGACAAATATTAACAATTTCTTTATTTAATCTCACTACTTTTTCTTATATTTTTTTCACAATATGCTGATGTTCGTTCATTACAAACTTCAATTTCATTCCATGTGTGACATTAATGAAGAAGAATGTATTTGTAAAATCTCAGCGAAACGAATTTAAAGTAAATCCATATACTTATTTATATTCGATAATTTTGATGTTTGATGATGATTATTTGAAAGAGCTTCGAGCAGATTCCCAGACGAAACGTTGAATTTACTTTAAATTCATTCCACTAAGATTTTACAAATACATTCTTCTTTCTTAATGTCTCATATGAACTCGACATCCAAATACTATGAAACAAAAGTTCTTATAAAAACTCATTTATGTTAGTATTTTCAATTCTTAATTGTAGTTATAATCTTGAAACATTACAATTTGTCTAAATAACTGATTTAATCCTATCAAAATGAAATGATTCCTTATTACCCTTACCACATCTTTGATTTAAAAATTTCTTTAAGTAATAAATATTCTTAAAAGAATACTGAACATATTCCATATACCATTTTATCCAGAAACTTAAGAACCTTCAGAAGCTTAATTAGAATATAATACACAAGATTGAATGTTGAAATCTTTCAATATAAATAATGAAACAAACAACTTTTAGAATTTTGAAATAAAATGTTAGAAATGTAATGAATGTGTTTTTTTAAAGAAGATAAAACTAAAAGTCCTTTCTTAACTTGATAACAAAAGATCCATTTCATGAAATTATTCAATAATATAAAAAAGAAGTGGTTTATAATGCATAAAATTTGATTGCATAAACGTGTATTACAATAGTGAATTGTTGAAAATTGTTATTTTCATAATAGATTTTGAAGTATGTTATTCAGATGATTGAATTCATAAATGAATACATGCTTGTACAGTAATTAGGAATTGTATATTAATTTCAATAAGATTTTCAATTATGTCACTATACATAAGTGTAGTTGTAGTAAACAAATTAATTTGATGATATATATACTTTAAAAGAAAAATAAAGTACTTCACATTTAAAAGTTTTACTTTTCAATTTAGTTTTCTCTGTAGTAACTAAATACAAAAATAAAATTTACTCATGTAGGTAATTGAAATAACAACACAAAATAAAACTTTAATTTTTTATCAAAGATGAATGGTGTTTAGCAGTGGAATCCATGAGGCGAGCCACTTTGTCCTATTTGGATGCACCTGAATCGCAGAAGTGATGTTCATTCCGGGACTCGAACCCAGTACCGTTCGCTCCAAATGCCATGGAGTTATCCACTTAGTTACTGAGTCCTGACTTAAGGCTATATAGAGGCAATCCGTAGAGGATACACATATGCCAACAAGAGATTGATCAATTTCAGTCCTAAATAACAATGAGAAGATACAAGTAAAACAACACCAAATGAATTTAAATTTAATTTTGTTTAATTGTTGAATCCATGAGTTGATCTAATCTAGAACACCATTTAAAACCTGAAAGCATTGGCCGATCATTTCGTCCTAGTATGAGTCTTGTGAGCAGTGAGGAACCCATGATCTTTCATCTCATGCGCGAACGTTTAACCTCTGGATCACTGATTATTTAAAAAATATTCATTGACGAATATAGTGAAAATACATAAATCACTAATTAATTAAGTTTTTAGACAATTAAAATAAGCCATTGTGTCATTGAAAAAAAAAATAAAAAGAATTCAGTGAAGAAAATTCTGTTTTCAACGAAATCGTTTACTGAAGTTTAACATTCGTATTTATAGTTGTACGGTAGATATATGTCTATATAAGGGTAAATAAGATTGAATTATAAGCTGATTCGAGACTCCAATTATCTATTCTTCTCTAACCTACTAATTATTACATAACTTCAGTGGATAGTTGGAGTCTCGAATTATATATATACAAATTTACAGTTGAATTAAATGATGTCGTCATAAAGAAAAACTTTCTTCGCTGAATTCAACTTTTATTTAAGCCTTCTTAAAGTATATATATAAATCTAGAAATGAATACTAAATCTTAGTGTTCTTAATTACTTGATAGAGTGAATTGATTTACATTTATTTTCTTATACTTAACACTCTACTCTATGTCATTCAATATGATGGTAATATTTATGTTTAAGTGGATTATGCCTAACTGAAAATAGTGAGTTTTTGAATATGACCACTGATTTTGAGGAAACTCATTCAAGATAATCCATGTGGGTTGTTTTTTTTTATTCAAGTACATTAAAAGTTTGTAAATACCCAATATTACGAATAGGTAGTTTGTAGTTTCTCTTCTAAACAAAAATTATTATTTATATAGAATAAATTGGATCTGGCTTAAAATGGAATCCAGGAAGTTCACCTCATATGGTTTAGAATTGGTTAATTATATGTACCACTATCCTTAAGTTAATATTTATTCTAGGGATTAAAACCAGTACTTTTCACTGCAAATGTTAATTTGTCATCGTTCTAGCTATGAAGTTAAGACAACCATTCATTTATAAAACGAATATGAATTTTAATTAAATTTGTAGTGGTTTGTCAATGGTATGATCAAATCCCACTCAAAATATCAATAACGGGTTAATCTAAACGATTACAAATTAAATTAGGAATTATTATTCATTAAACTTGTCTACAAATATTTCAATGATGAATCTACTAATGAATGTATTCTATCAAATACAATGAATATTTCCCTGAAGATATTTGATGTGTGGGTGAGAATGATAATGATTGGTTGTCTCCTTAGTCAGACATGTAGATAGTCTAATTGGTGTTAGATGAGTTATATATTCCCCTATCCTTATTATTATTACTCACTTATTACTGATTGTTCATTGTTGTTGGATTGCGTCGGGTTTTTGGTGTGGAAATATATTTACGTTTTAGTCAGGCTAATCACGTGTTCTTGATCATCTGAGTTATGTTGAAGTCCTGTAGAATAGACACTGGGAGCGAATCTTGTGTAGATATTCGTTTAAGGTAAATTAACGTCCCATACATGTAAACGTGGAAACCCAACCGTTATAACATTAGACAAAGTAAAACCAAGAGTTATAACAATATTATATTATAATTTCAATAAATTTATTTTCATTTATTTATCTTAGCTACATGTTCCAACTTACCATCTATCCAAAATGAAGATCATGGAAATATTACAACACCTTCCTTGAATTATGGTCATAAAGCATTTAACAATCCATTAAACACTAACCATATTTCTATTTATAATCGTTTATGGTCAAAAACTCGTACTGTTCCAGCATGGCTTTTAATAATTGTTGTTCCATTGATTTCTATTAAGTCACCTACATTTTTAAGTAAATTCAATGCACTTGGTAAGTGAACTATAAGCATTCATTATTTGTTAGATGTTCGGATATTATAGAAGAATGATTTATTTTCATTCTTATCAGTTTTAGTATAGAAAATGTAATCAAATTATAATTTATGAATATATTATCAACAAAGCTAAAGTGATCATATGAAAAGTCATCTACCTACTATGATCTGAAGAGAGGGTTATAGATTATTTCGAGGAATTAAGATTAGTATTTAGAGTTAAAAGTTAGGGTTAGAAACTAGAGTTAGGGAGTTTCATCAGAAAATGACATCAGCTATGAATGCTAAAACTCCATTTAAATAGTTGGATGAATGAATACTCGTTATCTTAAATTTAAATCATAGTTTCGTCGAAAATGTTTTATCTAATATATTACTATGATTATTCTAAAAAGACAGTGTTGAACTTTTAGACATAGTTTTATTATAAGTCACTGCAAATATTTGTAATAATATAAACTTGAATAATTATTTAAAAACATAGAATATGTTTAAGCATAGATGGATAGTGGCTAACAGTGAAATTCAGGACGTGTGTTACGTCCTATCTGGGAATCGTCAGCTGGATGTATCTGCACCCCAGATTTGATGTTCACTCAGGGACTCGAACTCAGTAAAGTTCACTTCAAACGTGAACGTCAACTCTGGGATGTAGGTATATCTGGTTGATAAGTCCTGACGAAACGCGTGTCCTGGATCCTATTGTTAGCCACTACCCATCTATGCTTAAAAATCTTGTGACCTAAGGCTATATCACGGCGATACGCACATTATGCATATATGTCAATAAGACTTATCAATTGCAGTCCTAAACATCAATGAGAAGATTCAAGTAAATAATATCAAGTGAATAGAATATATTTGATGTGCTTAACAGTAACCCTTGAGATTAGCAATTTGCATCTATTACTTGAACTGTTTTCATACTACAATTAAGCGTTTGTTTGATTTACTGATTTAGAAATTAATTTGTAAATTAGCAACTGATATGTTAACTTAAAAATATTATCAGAAGGGTTTCGTGGATATTTTAATAATCTTGTAATTGAATTCATGAGTTGGTCAAAGGCTAAACCACCATAGAAAACCTGTTAGCACTGGACGGCCAATTCTTCCTTGTATGGAACTCCTCAGCAGTGCACATCCACGATCCAACCCCGTGGGAAACGAACCCAGGACCTAAAAATATTACTCATTCACTTTCACAAAGTGTAATTTGTTCATCAAGAGTATTAAGTTTCAACAGTGAGAAATGTTTTAACATAAACTATTTGACAAATATACTATACTAGGATATCGAAGATGAAATTTAATCGGCTGATATACTTTCAACTCATTATGAGAAGTTGTTTTTCCATAATGTATGAAAAGTACTTTGATTTTTTGTAATGTTAATCAATATAGAGATTACATTTTTAAAAAAATCTTTTTTAAGTCCCTTTTACCTCTATTTTTTTCCAACAAGTGATTATAAATTTCCTATTAACATAACTTTGAAGACAAGTGGTCTGATATCAATGTAAATGTGTGCACGTTATACCTAATTGTTTGATTACAGTATCAAAATATAGTGTTTCAATCATGTGTATTTGATCCAGAAGATTGCAACTGATAACTTGTCATGTAATCTATTCATTATTTTGTTTACAATTGTCATTATCTAGTTGTGTTTTTTTCTCTGAGTAATATGACATGATTATTTGTAATATAATCTTATTAGGTACTATTTGTGTATTCTATCTGGTCATATTGGTTTGTTTGAAAGCTGGTCAATGGGGAATAAATATGGATTTTTCATCTAAACATCCTTATAGAATTGTACCTCGTGAGTTTCTAAGATTACTTTATTCTATATTAATTATTTTATATTAGTGATTTATTATGCCATTATAATTATTATCAATAACTCGAAGAGATTCACTATAGACAAAAGTATAAATTATCTTCATAAAAAAAGGTTTAGTTCCGAAAAGAGTCAACACTATAAAAACAAAAGCTACTACTTTGGTTAAAGTCTAAAGAATTAATTTGCATATGGTTCTTTAAAGTATACAAAAAGGTCTTTGATAACCTATTAAATAAATGTTGAATATTATTGTGATATAAAGCATTGATTTCATGAAATATAATTGTGTGTACTATGAGTACTACTATTCTATTTTATATCTTTTCGTAAATGTATAACACGGAAAGAAATTACGTAATTAATAGTCAGTAAGTTGTGTGTCTATTTTTCCACACTCACTGGTTGATTACACCAAGCTTTTTTTTAAATATTCATGTCACCATACACTTACCTGAATAACCTCTGAAGATATGTTCATGAGTGTAGAAAAGAAAATGAATAACCTTTTTAAACAGAATTGTTGTTTTTAGGTCTAGATTGATGCTTGCTTATTCATGAATCTGAATTTGTCAAATCTATAACGTATTAGTCATCCTTTTGTTTACATTCCAATATTATAACATGAGGCAATATATTCTTCAGAAATGGTGAAAATCCTAAAGATAGCTATTCCGTTCATGAACAATATTAAAATGGTAATTATAATTGTAAAAATCTCAATGATTAAAACTAAAAATAAATTTCTACCTTAATTTTAACAGTATGATTTGAACTTTTATCCCATGAAGAAACTTGAAATAGACCGTTGTGTCAAGCATTCGAGTTACTTTTAACTTTAGCTGCTCAGAATTTGAGAAATATAATATAATTTAAATATTTGTTAAAAACTAGACATTCATTTATTATGAAATTATTAGATTAAGTAAAGATGAAAATTCTTTGTATTGGTGATCATAGTAATCAAGTGATGTAATCATGAATGAAAACAAAAATGTACAATAGTACCTTTATAGTTAGTCGGTCATGTTGATGAATTCAAAAATATGCTTTACCAAATTTTTCAGAAGTGTAGTAAACATCAGGAAAGACTTCACGCAGTCACTATTCAGTAGAAACTTATCAGAAACATCGACAAAATGAAAGATCATATTTATGATCGAGATATCATTACTAAATTTCGAATGTTTGCAGAAAGCTCCAGAACAACAAAGTCACACGTAACTTCAGAAATACACTTAATTTTCTGTTTGTGTCTAATGTTCACAATCCACTCATTTTCTCATTTATTTGAGTTGAAGTGTAGAATTAGTAACTTTTTGGCGAATGCCATCTAGCATAAAACATACGTCTAAGGTATACTTTCAGTTTATTCCAACTACTTTACATCTATTATGATTTAACTATTTTTTATTATGTCAATCAGTTTGGATTTTGCCAAATTACGTCATTTATGGAAAAGGCGAGACATCCGTCTACCAATTAAGGGACGAGTATGCTGTGTGGCAGTTCGTTCTGCTTTACTTTACGGTTGCGAAACGTGGCATTTAAGAGTAGAAGATATTCGTAAGCTTCTAGTATTTAATCACAAATGTCCTAAAAATATTGATCCCATTTGCTGGGATCACCGCGTAAGTAATAGTGAGGTTGGATGCAGGTCATTAGGGAATGATGATAAATCAGTTGATGAGGTTATGAATCTTCATCAACTGAGATGGTTGGGTCGTGTGTTATGTATACCTGAACACCGATTACCACGACACGCAATGCTGACTAGTGATGGGATGGTTGGAAGAAAGCTAGGGGCTGCCAAACCAAAACGTGACATCAGTACATGAAGTCACTAACTTCTAGTTTGGGCGATGTTGGTGATAGATGCAGACTACTTGGTTGGAGTCCACGTGACAATCGTAACCGATGATTGGAGAATGTGGGTGACATGACTCAGAATCTATCACAATGGCGTAGGTGTATACACTCTCTGTCTTCCATTAAACTATGAGATTAAAATCGATTCATATATTTCTTTCTACCAACTAATTCTTTTTCCCTCTATCATATCCTTATATCCAATCTTTCTTTTATATATTACTACCATTGAATTCACTACTTCTATGAATTCGGTGTTCATCTTGTTGTGCTGATGCGGTATGGTTACTTGAACCGATGCATATATGTGCCTGGTCCTATGTTGCAGCTGACTGAGTGAATAAAGTTTTCTGTTGATTTAAACATACATGCACACATATTTACATACACACACATACACCTCATCAAACAAGAAGTTGACTTGTAAATACGTTAACTACTCTTTGAAGTAACTAAATTCCATACTTGAAATATATCAAATTGAGAGAGAAAAAAAACATGCAGAACATAACTATGAAATGTATTATGAACAAAATATTAGTTCATATACGTACTTATAGAGAATTACATATTTGTTTTTCATATTTTTCTTTTCAAGTATGACTATTACAAAACTGTAATGTTGAACATATGAATGAACTATTACCAATCTATGTACAATATGTTTTTGAAGTGTTTCTCTTTTACATAAAATACTGATTCATATTTTTTTTTACTTACTAATTATGAAAGGTATTCAAAGAAATATTTGTATGATTGTATTACAACTGATGAATCATATTGAAAGTATCCTAGAAATACAGATTGATTCATAATCCATAGACTCATTCAATCGACACGTATAGTGATTGTTGTTATTTATCTATTGGGAGAGTGTAAATGTATTTCGTAATCAGATTATAATTTAATAGACGAGTAAAATAATATGATAATGAAAAAGATTGTAGTTAAGAATTAAGTGTTCAATGTTTTTAACTAGATGGATTAATCGTGAATTCTTAGTATCATAGCTAGATATTTTAAAAAGAATTATATATGAAGTGTATATTGATGATGTTGTTTAAAAAGATAATTAAATCAAGCAGCTAAGAGAGCAATGAACTTTAGGTAAGTTCTACTTTCAATCCAGCCTTGAAGGAATGTTCTAGAAGAATTTGTAAATCAAATAACAAGAAAGTTATTTTATGCTATTCATAAATCCTATAATAAAATGTATGCGATCTGATATTCAAATCTACTGTGTTGTGAAATGATATCACAGTTTAGGTAAAAATAATTGTCCTCATTATTTTATTGCGGCTGGCAAATTTATGTATTACACGTGGAGCTAATCCGTATCGGATATATGGCAGTTACCCACTGAAGACAATAGAAAATGGTTACGCAATATTATGGATTGATTAAAGTTGGACATTAACACCAATGGATCCTGATTCTAATGATTCCAAGGTTAATCATTCGCACGTGAGATCGAAGATCCTGCGTTCGACATCGTGGATATGCATTGCTAAGGAGTCTTATACTAGAACTAAATAACTGTCTAGTGATTCTAGGTTTTCAATGGTCGACTAATTTATGCTGATTTATGATTTTAATGAAATTGAACAAACTCTGCAACTCCATAATCAAAAAGATTAAAGTATTACAATCAGCAAATATTTATCAACAGTCTTCCAATATTACAATTTTATAATATAGTTTAATATCAGTTGTATAGAAAGAAAACAGTGATACATATATTGTATGAAATCTTTTATTTAGAAGCACAAACTACATTCATTAGTTTAACTGGTATATGTTCACTGGCATTTTTCTGTCACAATACTTTGCATACATTAACACGTAATCAAAAACGACCGGAGAATAATGTAAGTGAATTTAAATCTGATAAGTGTTTTGCATATATTTGTTGTTTTCATTAATATTATATTATTATGCCCTTTTAAAGAGTTAAATAGAATGAATGTGTTGAGGTTAGACATTAACACTCGTGGATGTGAGCTCAGTAGTCTAGTGGTTAGGCGCTCGCGTGAAAGATTGATGGGCACTGGGTTTGAATCCAGCGAATCGGGGTAGTGAATGCGCAATGCCACTGAGGAGTCCCGTAATAGAACGAAAGGGCCGTCCAGTGCTTCCAGGTTTTCCACTGTGGTCCAGCTTCAATTCACTCATGATCTCAACTATTGGAATTAATACAATCTTCACAAAACCTCTTCTGATATAAATGATTTTTTGTTTAAATCGTTTCACCACTTAATATTATAAAGGATATTATTACCAGAAGTCGAACATTTTCTTAAAGTACTCAAAATTCACTTTCAATTTATTATTACAATGGGGGATTTGTGCTGATTATATCTGATCACATTCTGATCATGTACTTACTAATAACTGATTTTGAGACATGACTTCAAGAGTTCTTGTGAGAAGCTGTGACAATAAGAGCTTAACCATGTTGAGTATGAGTTATTCACCCACCAATATTATTGCAAAATGGTCTAACACTGTATGCAAATCAATTGAAGTTTTATTGATAAGCTACTATATGCTGGATCGGTAGTCTTAAGTCTTGAGTTCGATCCCGAGTAAAATCATAAATATCCATAGGTGAAAAATAACATACTAGCATGAAACAGCAGTTCAATCCACTCTACTTATCAGTGTTTGTCTAAAATCGGTTTTTTAATATAAACTTAATAATGCAATTGTTTTATTTATTATATAATTTTCATATTCTATTTAAAAAAATGTAATATAATTCCTTACTTTATATGTATTCATTTCAGACACGAGATGTGGCTATTGCATTTCTTCTAGTAGCAGCTACTTATTTGTCTATCGGTTTAATATTCTATTGTACTTTTCCATTAGCCAAATCATGTATTGAAGATGTAAGCTTCTTTATTTTTTTTTCTAATCAGACCCAATTAGATTGTTTGTTTGTTTTTTTAATGTAGTTGACTATGTAGCTATTTATTTGTTATTTTGGAATTCATTAATTTTATTTTATCGTGAGAAGATCAAAATTTATAGTCAATTATTATCTATCAATTGAAGCCGACTATCAATAAGATCAAAATAACAATTGAGTGGAATTCAACCGGGTCAGTTGTGAGATGGTAACTGACTGATGAAAATAGTGAATGTGTCACTCAATTTCGTGAATTAGTTGAAGTTAGACATTAATATCTTTGGATGTTGGTTGGCTCAGTGGTCTAGTATTTAAGTACTCACGCGCGAGACCAGTAAGTCCTGGGTTCGAATTCCGTGAGGCGGGATCGTGGATACTCACTGCTGAGGAGTCCAACAATAAGATTAGACGGCCATCCAGTGCTTTCATGTTTTTCATGGTGATCTAGCTTCAATTGACTCATGATCTCAACAACTGAGTTAGAATAATATAAATTCAGTATTATTGATAGTTACTTCTCAATTACTCATGTCTATTATTTAATATAATGTTATATCTTAATATGAATATAGTTGTATGCCGCTGAGGAAAACATGAGAAAATCTTTTCTATCTTGATTGTAATCTTGATTTTGATGAAATTCATTGAAAGAAATTCATTGTACAAAATCCATATTATCGAAAAAGTAAAATTGTTCCAATGTTTTTTGAAATTATTCTCTGAACTGAAGAAATATTGATCTAGATAACATAGTCAGTCAGTCAGCTACAACGTAAGACCAAGCACATATATGCATCGGTCTAAGTCGCCATACCTCATTAGTACAAGGTGAACACCGAATTTATAGAAGTAGTTAATTCAATGGTAGTAATATATAAAAGAAAAATTGAATATAAGGATATGACAGAGGGAGAAAGAATTAGTTGGTAGAAAGAAATATATGAAGCGACTTTAATTTCATGGTTTAACGGAAGACAGAGAGTATATACATCTACGTTATTGTGATTGATTCTGAGTCATGTCACCCAGAGTCTCTAGCATAGTACTCTTAAGTGATAATATAAAACATGTAAGACTTTTCTGAATTTTGAGAACAGTGATTCAAAAATGATTCTATTGTATTCTTACGCTAAATACAGTCTAATAACATCAAAATTTAACTTGTTACAATCTCTACATTGACGATAAGTTTTAGTCTTATGAAGATTCAACTTCTGTAAAAGTTTCATCAGTAATGGTAGATTGTTGAGTATCAAAATTCCTGCACAAATAAAAAGTAATCAACTATGACGTACATGAGAAGTGTTTACTTATCAAAAGATGAATATAATTGTAGAAATGAAATGGTAATAATTGGTCTTTAGAAACAATAGATCATAGTGATCGTCAGTACAGGGTTGTGGAGATTATTAGGTTTTTATTGAGATCTTGAACTGATTGATGTTAGATCATCATTGAAAACCTGAAAGCACTAGGCGGCCGTTTCGTTCTAATGTGGGATTCCTCAGCAGTGCGAATCCAAGATCCCGCTCGTGGGACCCAGACTTTTTCTTTATTGTTTAGTTGAAACTCCTTTCATTGGTTGATTAGTGCAGCGATTTCCACATATATATTGATTATCAACTCATTTTAAGATTAAATTTCCAAATCCATCTGATAATTATTACATTTCATGGAACAAAAAGTACCATGTTTCCCTATTACATTTGTTTGTACATCTAATGATATCAGGGAAGTTTAATGGGTTTTTCGAGCACATCACACAAGAAAGAAGTCCAATTTTAACATAATTATTCTAAAGATATCAGTTATACACAGTTTCTAAATCCCCACTACAATTATTCCTAACTCTAATGTTCTATTGGTTATTGACTGTAGACATGTTTAGTGGCCCGTGATCTGACTCCAATTTGATCGTAATGATTGGTTGCTATCGTCTATCCTCGTATATAATCATTGACTTAAATCGCGTTAGTTAATAACGGAATTAAATAAGTCAAATAACGAGAATGGAGTTTTGAATGCATATATTTTGTATAATTGTTGATTAGACAAACGAACGGGAGAACGACGCGAAAAGAAGAAAGCGAAGCAAAATTGACAAGCGGTGGAGATGGCTGGTAAGCCAACTCTCCCTTTAACAAAGAGTTAATCAATATTTATAAGCCCACAAAAATAAATTACAGACATGTGATGAGTAACGGGATAAGAAGTGTGCATACTCCTACGCGCTCATACAAAGACAGTCAAGACATTGATAAGCGAATAATTAACAAGGTCAGAATGTGACTCAAATAGAATGAATAGAATGAGCTGTCCGAAAGTTAGAATAATAAGGTATTTGGGCTTAACATAATGACAGACACTACACATGTTAGTTTCAACTATGTGTAAATAAAAGTAATGTCAATTTAGATTACATTATTGTCCATAATATTGTATTGTCATATTCATGATGATAACCATGTACATATATTGGCAATGGTAAAATCTATATAAAACTATGTAAAATTGTTTTTCTTCTTAATGTTATCGATTTGTTGAGATTGTTGCATACTTTTAATATCACGAACAATCATTGAAAACCAGTAGTGGAGTGTTGTTTAACCGTAGTATGTGCTTGATCAACAATACGCGTCTATGGCCTAACACAGATTCCAAGTCAGGAACTTCAAGTCTCTCAAAAAGTGTTCAATCGTTTTCTCCATTAATATAAACTACTACCTAATGTTTGTATCTTATACATGGTATATGAAAAAGACATCTTAATGAACATTGTTTATTTATTCCTTTAATCACCAGTGAATACTTCCAACTAACCAATTAATTATTAATTACTTATTACTAGTAAACTTTATTATTTAATAGGGTTCATGATAGAAATGAGCAATAGAAGTAATATGACCAAGTATTCATAATTTTTTTTTCTAAGATTACATAGAATCTATTATAAATTGTAATATCTAGATCCATTTGTTCAATGAAAGCAAATTGTTAAGATAAAAATGTAATACATTCGTACCTATATGCAAATGTTTTTTTTTCCCTACTTTTTATTTTCTTTTTTTCTCTGTGATAAAATTTATTTAGAATCTTTTGAATAATCTAGTAACCGATATACCAGTATTTATTGGTCGTTTCTTTTCACTTCTACAAATGTTCACTGTATTTCCAATGATTCTTTATGTTTTACGTGTACAAATTATGACTGCTATATTCAAAACACCATATCCAGGGTAAGTTAATAAAAATTTTGATTCTTTTATTAAAGTATTTTATTATTATTATTATTATTATTATTATTATTATTATTATTCTCTTTAAATGAGTATTCTCTCCCTGGAATATCAAACTAGATTCAATCACCTGATTGAAATCGTATATAAAGTTTGAAGATTCTAACTACCAGTAGTAAAAAAAAAACTGTTTTAATGTATCTTTTACTTTTTATTTTCTACTTAGATCTTACACAACTACATGATCTTTTTATTTATTGAAAAATTTACATTCCATTTAAAATGTGAAACAAGTGAATAATAATGATTGAAGTTAAATTTTATTTCAATGGTTAAGATCATGAGTTAATTGAAGTTAAACTATCATGAAAAACCTGGAAGCACTGGACGACCGTTTCGTCCTATTATGGGATTTCTCAGCAGTGCGCATCCATGACCTCACTCTTTGCGAGATTTTATTATAAACAATAATAACAATGATATATTCTATGTACAAAGACTTAGAATTACTTGTTTCATTGAAGTTGAATTTTAAATCAGTTAAGTTTTTATTTATATTATTACCATCATTGAATGAATGACTTCTATGGATTCAGTGTTTATGTTGTTATGCTAATGAGATATGGCAACTTAGACTGATACATATATTTGTCTGGTCTTATGTTGGAGTTGACTGACTGACTGACTGTCTAGTTGATTTTAATGGCATAAAGGATTATCCCTTCTTACTCAGTATTTGAATCATTTTATGATTTCAGATTGTTTATGGATAGTATTTTTTTTTCATAACTCATATAACTTTCTTGACTCAAAGCATCATTCTATATGTTATATTTCAAAAATTTGTTTTGTTTGACAAGTTTTATCATCTAACAATTTACTAAAGTTTTTCTCTATTGTACAATGCCTAGCTGACTATGTTAACTCATCGAATGTGAGAAATTCGACTGATATATTGTTAAGGTAGATTCAATTATTGGACGATTTAATCATCAAATAGATGTTTACAATCTAGGTAATATTGAATAGTGACCAATTTCATGTTTGTCTAGTCCTTTAGTCATGATCGAATTCAATCGATTGGATTATATTAGATCTACTAGTCTAAGTACTTTAAGATTATAGACATTGTGTTCGAGATCAGACAAATATCATATTGGTCATCAATCAATGATAGGTTGACTGTGAATATTTCAGTCCTACAGACAATCATTAACAAAGTAAATAAAATCAATGATTACATTTCAGACAGTGAATCTGAGTGACTCTGGTTTGGCTTTTATAAGGATAATCGATTCCTTCAAGATTTGAGGCAGTCTATACGGACGAGTGACAAATAGCATGAAACCTAGATCAGGCAATTTTTTCCGTGTACTACTTGCAACTATCTAATACCTTAAATTTAGGTATACATAAAACAGCCAGCACTTTTTATAGATACCAACGACTGACGTTGGACAGCTGCCGCAGAAAATACTATTTTGAACGTATTTAATTAATAAATTTATACTTAACTGTTTGCTTATTTCACTTGGTATTGTTTCGCTTATGTCTTCCCATTGACGTTTAAGACTGCAATTGATCAGTCTCTTATTAGCATATGTGCATACTGAGTGTATTGCCTCGATATTGCCTTAATTCACAAGCTTTCATAAGCAAACGTGGATAGCGGCTAGCAGTGCGATGAAAGAGGTGCGTTTCGTCCCATTCGGGACTCGTCAGCTGGATGTAGCTGCATCTCAGAGTTGATGTTCACTCTGGAACTCTAATCCAATACCATTCGTTTCAAACGTCATCGCATCATCCACTTAACTATTGAGTCCTGATAGCCACTTGATTGTACAACGGGAAGATACAAGCAAAACAATACCAAGTGAATTTAAATCCACCCCAAATAGGACGAAACGCATCTCTTGGATTCCATTGCTAGTCACTATTCATCTTTGCTTATTTGTTTATTGAAAAAAAAATTTTTCATTTATTATTTTAAAATTTCAGATTTATTCATGTTACTGTATTACATGTGTTTGTTCTTGGACTATCATTAACGTTTTCAATGTTAATGCCGAGTATTGGTACTATAATTCGGTGAGTTAAATTCTACGATTTATTCAAATGTAATTAATGAAGTTTAAAACGATATACTTATTTACTAATGAATATTAGCATAAAATTTGTCTGGTTAACTATATATTTAATTAAGAAAGATTAGTTCAATGAAGAGTTTTCCGCTTTTCGGTGAATTCATTTTCAAAGCTGTACTTATTCTTACAGGATGATAATAATACTGATAATAGACTTCAGTTAAACATGGTGACTGTGAGGTTAAATAAACAAAGGTATTTAAAATTGTTAAAACAAGGAAATTTTAATAATCGTTTGATTGTTAAGGACTTAAGTATTCATCATTAAAATAGATAGGGGAATCATCAGTGGGAAAGGATGGCTCAGCATGATAAGATAAAATGTTGAGATTGAGATGAAATGTAATCGTAATGATCATGGAAATAAAAACAAACCAGTTAGTTAGGGTAGAAGATTTAAGGGGAAGATAAAAGGTAAAGCAGATGGCTGTAAAGGATCAAGAGAAAAATCTTAATACATTAAAACCATGGTAGAAGAAGAGATTGTACTAGTCTCTTTCGCACATATACAATTCTAGTTTTTCCAGATGTATGGTTATTGCTTCGGCAATGCAAAGAAGATACAGTCTAATTGCCTTAGGAAGACTATATATTATCATCATTAAACGTTAACATAAAATGATATTTATAACTTGATACATTATCTAAGAATTGAGCATCAAAAAATAACCAATCATAGATTATTTGTGTTATAACTTGTGCCCTGTGTTCTATTAATGTATAACGTAATGATGCCATCAATTAGAGAATAGTGAATTATCTACCGAACCAATGACGCATAAAACCAAGTACGAGCAGTCTAGAGTCCTTATCACTTCTGCTTTCCGCCTAGCTCAGTCTTTTAAGTCCAGAACACCAATCACAGCTTCTGCAATATGAATCGTTTATTCCAGACATACTGGGTTTATATATCAACCAGAGAGACCATATCGTACCATAAAATAGAAAACAATATTTGTACAAAATTTAGCCAAATGTGCCTGTGAATGTGAGAGATAGTAGTTGATAAACTGGAAATAACTCAAGAATGGTAAATCTTGTAATAATAGTTCATAGACTGAAATAAAGCTCATAATATGATGGACACGAATATGAATAGTTTAGTTACTTACCAATTGTACGATAGAAATATACTAATGGTATAGGTCCATAAGTGCATCCCAAAAGTCACCATTCATTATTGTCATCGGGATATAACAATTTGCAAGATGACTTCCGTATGTATACATTTATTATCAATTTGATGAGCATTTTCAACAGCTCAAATGATCAGAAAATAACATGAAGGTAAAAAAAAGTTGCTTTCAAATGATGAGGTTTTCAGGGATCATTAAATTTTGTGTATCATATTACGAATTTGATAATGACTAAGATCTAGAAAATACTGAACAGCTATTTCATCTTATTCTCAGCAGTAAACACTTCACTGAAGATCATACTAGGGGACTTTCAAGCTTTAAGTTAAAAGTTTTAAACTACTGTTTTGGCATTCAACAGTTCATGTTTCTAGTTTTATTCATTTAGGATGTTAAGTACATTTCAATTTTCAATGATTATGATGTAAACTATATAAAACTCGTTGAAACTGGATCTTTTTCAGGCCATATAATAAAAAATAGTAACGTATATATTTAACTATTTATTTAAGTAAAACTTAACGATCTCATTGAAAACAATATATTTATTTTTTCAATGGTTGAAATCATGAGTGAATTGAAGCTAGACCACCATGGAAAACCTGGAAGAACTGGACAGCCTTTTCGTTCTATTGTGGGACTCCTCAGAATTGCGCATTCAGAGTCCTAGGTTCGAATCTCGCAAGGCGAGGTCGTGGATACGCACTGTTAAGAAGTCCCATAATAGGACGAAACGGCCGTCCAGTGTTTCTAGGTTTTCCATGGTGTTATAGCTTCAATTCACTCATGATTTCAACCATTGAAATTGCTATAATATCCACCAAAAAAACCTTTTCTGATTATATTTATTTTTGCTTAGATATTTCGTTCTCATTTACACAATAGAAATTTTCAATGATTTAATATCAAAGTATTATAAAAAATTCTATACATATACTTGTTAGTTCATTTAAGCGTTTAGATTACATAATATGAACCTGACACCCTAGTTTTAAAAAAAAGTATTCATATTCTCATATGAATATCAGTTACGTCTATCTATATATGTGTATATATGATCTTACTAAATTGTAATCATGGCTAGTGATAACAATACCTAAAATCCAGTTTTTTTTCGAAATACTAATATTTCCGTCTTGCAAAAATGAATAAGTCATCTTGGATTACAATTAAGTGACTATGATTTTTCTTTTAAATCTTCTAATTGGTTTGTGGACAGTACATTTAACAATGAACTTACTAATCCATTGTTCTATTGCATTGAAACATAATTTGCATTCTACATATTAACATTAACCTTCCACACCATTGAAATAGTGTCACAGTTTTGAATTCATCTTCCATGAAATGATCAAGAAACAACAAATACGTTTCTTTTCATTCTGTCGTAAATGATTTCTTCATTCATTCCTATTGAGTAAAGCTATATGTGTAAAATATTATTTACGAGTTTTTATTCACACTACTTATAAGTAACAACAAATTAATAACGTAACTATTTCTATGGCTTAGCATTTATCAACTTCCAAGTGTCTTCATTACTGCAGTCAATAGATTCAAAAAGAAGAGTAGGAATAAATATATTTGCACTTATATAAGCTATTTGCTCAAAGCTTTTATGATGACATACGTTATCCCCATGTGTCTACTAGGTCATCTTATCATGTCATATAACAATGAAGAATTGTTGTCTAAATTAGGTACTTTAAGAAGGCAAAATAAAGTAAGAGTTTTATTAGTTAGATACCAATGGATGAACAAGATTACCTTTCTTTTGTAAAAAAAGTTGTGAAATATGCTTGAGTATTTTTGTGAAAAAAAGCAGTAAAATCAAAACAAAAAAACTTTTCTCGAAAGTAACTAGTGACTCTAATGAATTATTCTCATTTATGTTTAACAAAGAAAACGATGGATCAATGATTCGGTTTGGGCTACTGGGCAATATCACCTCCCTCACACAAATCAAATGAGATTTATTTGACGCATATGTATTTGGTGCCTCCTTCTACCAATATCTATGTGTTAAAACAATAATAATAATAATATTAATAATACATCAAAACTTATATTTTTGATGTATAAGTCATGACAGCTATTCAAATAAGCTATTTTGATGAAGAAAAGTTTCTTTTACTATGGTTAGCAACAACTATATATCAATAATTTCCGACATTATGGTGAATATTTAAATATCACAACAGTTTACACTTTTGAAAGACTCATTTAATATTTCATTTTATTCACAAAAAAAAATAATAGTAAAAGCGGTTAGCCTGAGATGACCGGAACGCTATAAACAAGAATTGCCTAGAATGTAAAATTCTAAATATTATATAATATAACCAAAGATAATGACCACCAGTGAGATCAAGTGATGTATACACAGTGAAAACTATGTAACACATGAACTCTACATGTTTATTTAATACCTCACACAAACAATGAAGGCATTAAACAATGATAAATCTAACGGAAGTATCGGATTTATTATAATATCATAAATATATATATATATATATATATAAATCCAAAGATATTTGTTAAAAAAAGTCTTGTATTTGAAGATTATTATAAATACCTCACTTCTAGAAGTTTACAAATGAAGTTTGACTTTAATAGATTGTATTTAACCATTTTGTTTCATGTGTGATTATTTGGTTGTTTTGCATATTGTTTTGCGAGTAGTAAATTTCCGAGGTACCGGGAATTCAGTCTCTAGTAAGAGATTATACTCATTTTATGTTAATAATCCTAAATATAACAATATTATTAAAAAAATCGATACATTGTGAAGTGATTTTACCATATAAAATGTCACTTATCTACCACATCGACTATAAGATGTATTGCATGTGTACTAAACCACTATCTACCTTGATCTGTGAATGTGGTTGGTATAGAAATAAAATGAAATAAAGCTAGTGGTAGTTAAACCAAAACTAGAAAACATTTTTATGAAGTAAATTTTATTCTGAACTATCTTGATAGATGCAGACTAATCGATTGTGGTCTACGAAGTAGCCACCATTTAATGTTCAATGTACTGAATAACACGGCTCAAAATCATTGAAAATGGCTTACGTATATACTGTATTTACCTTCTCTATGATATGTTTCAAACTTATTTTCAACCTTTTATTTGACGAAAACATGTTTTCCTTTTAAACCATATTCTGTATTGATAATCTAGAGATACTATAATTTATGGACGATATTTGAACGAACCTTAAGTGACCTTGAGAAATATTAACCAATCAGAAAACATTTGATATAAAGTAAGAATACATTATACAAAGCCATAGAATTAAAGTGGATACACTTCTTTTATATGGTAAAAAAACTTGTCAAGATTAGAAAGAGATTCTGAAAGCGTAATGTATACGGTATAGGAACTCATCCATATGGCTGAATAATGGTTGGCCTCTTCAGCTATGATGAGGTCATAAAAGCTCCATAAATTTTAGTCTTACTGGCAATCTTTTTTATCATGACTGAAGTTATGACTACCAATTTATCAATTGGCGAGGATTGGTAAAGCAAGGATAGCATTCCTATAATTGAAGAACATATGCAACTCAAAACAACTTTCAACCAATATCAAAGTCAGAATCTTCAATACGAACGTCAAGACAGTTCTACTGTAGGGAGCTGAAATTTGGAGAACTACTACAACCACCATCAAGAAGGTACAAGTATTTATAAATAGTTGTCTACGAAAGACACTCAACATCCATTGGCCGGATGCCATCAGAAGAAGCCTTCTGTCGGAGAGGACAAACCAGTTTCCAACTGAAGAGCAAATTAAGAGAAGACTTTGGAGGTGAATAGGACACACATTGAGGAAATCATTAGACTGCACCACAGGAAAAGCTCTAACTTGGAATTCTGAAGGGAAGCGGAAAAGAAGAAGGTCAAAGAACAAATTATGTCGGGAAATAGAAGCAGATATAAAAAAAAGGATGAATAACAACTGCAAAGGATTGTCTAGGACAGTGTTGGATGGAGAATTCTGGTGGTTGGCCTATGTTTCTCTACGTGGAGTAACAGGCGTAAGTTATTAAGTAAGTAAATAAATAATTTACCAATTATTCTGATAATTTCATCTCTTTCTCTCTCTCTAGTTGGTAAGGTATGGTAATAATCAATAGATAAACATTTGTACCAGGTTCAATATTGTTTATGACAACTAGATTAAAACAGATTTCTTCACTATTACTAATATCAATATATATGTATATATGTATATATGTATTTATTTATTTATTTATCTTTCATTTTATTCTAGATTTAGTGGTTCATTATGTGGTCTAGTATATATGTTTACACTTCCACCATTAATTTATTTACTTAATAAACGTACATTAAATCGTTTACAAAATGAAAGTCATATTAAAATATCAGAAATTCATTCAGAGAAATTATTAAATAATAATCATATCAATGGAATGAATAATCATAATCATAATCATAATCATGAAAAATCAATAAATGATCATATATTATTTAATGAATTACAAATTGATAATCATAATGATACAATATCAATGATAAAAATTAAATTATTATCAGAATATGATATAATCAAATATTGGTTAATTGTTTCTATTCATATATTTATTATGTTATTAGGATTATTAAATTTTATTGGACAATTTACTGTATTTTTTATTGGAACTAATAAAAAACAAATTATTTCATAGTTAAATGTAAACATTCATACACACATACACACACACCTACATGGATACGCACAAATATATAATAAATACATTCTAATATTTAATCTTTTAAATCACACACATACATATACACACGAACAAGCAAACATAGATACGCATGGATACGCACAAATACATACAATACTTTCTAATATCTAATCTTTTAATTCATTATTACATAGCTGCCTCTATTATATTACATAATCATTATGTACTCATGTAATCATTGATGAATAGATAGAATCCCAAGTAGTTTATTTATATTTAGTCATTTAATGATTCGTTCTCATTTGTCAAATGATTTTTAATTAATATTAATTATTATTTAATATACACATCAGTATTCAATTGATCTTAAAGTAAGATTATAATTATGAAGAGAAAACAAGTGAACTGTTTTTTATTCTGATATTTATATACATTTGTTTCTATGTATTTATCTGTGTATCTGTGTAGATTAGGCGCCTTTATATATATATATATATATATATATATATATATATATATATATATATATATATATATATATATATATATGTTAAATTCACGTTTTGTAATTAGTCAGCTGATTTATTTACTGAATTAAATTCAATCCACCCTCCCTTTTTTTAAAAATAATCTATGATCAGTTATTGTAATTTTTTATTGATAATTTTCATTTTTCCTTTTTTTTTCTTTTTTTAAAAAGTATCCCGACAACCTTTTATGCTTCTTCCTTAGAAACGAAAAAATCGTTTTTTTTTGGTTTTTTTTTAAAATTTGTCACAATGTTTAAATTTTAATTATATTAGAATTATTGATATTATTTATGGATTAAATAATATAAATTTGTTGGAAAAAAAAGGGATCGATTTTTTCTCACCATTTATGTGAATCGTTTTTTTTATGGTTCACATTTTTTTTTAGCCAGTTAGTTTTATATAGGATGGGGTCGATAACCCCATGACCAACCCGTTCTCATTTATTCGGGCTTAGGACCGGTAGTAGCCCAAGAAGGGCTCTAGGTGGAGTCATATGAACATTTTGTCATGATTAGATATATTTTCAATTGAATATGTAAACAATATAGAGAGTTTATTGAAAAGTGTTGTTTATGTATTGAGATCACAAACTGATCTGACTATAAAATATTAAAAAGGTATTTCGTCGTAGTATATAGATATCCACGATCTTATTGAGGATTCTTAATACTGTTAATTATGATGTTGAGAAACTGATCCGTTGAATTCGATTTTATTGGTTTGAGTGAGTTATTCACTGAAGACATCAGAAGATATTTACTCTGTATAGTGAGTTCATTAAAGTTAGGTATGTAATCCTCAGGACGCTAACTCATTGGTCTAAACAATAACTATTCACCAAAACAAACATGAAGGTCTTAGATTTGTTACTAATGTCATTGCGGATGATCAGTAGCGTGATCAATAGTTGTAATGATGACCACAAACACTTCAAAGTCGATATAATGTCAGAACGACCACTGACCTATTGTGTTGATAAAAACAAAAAACGTTTGTAGTCTTACATGCGTCTCAGTCTTTTATTCACTCTCAGGACGAATAATACTGAACCCAATTTTAGGAAAATGTGAAGTACTAAAGTAGTTAAACAGTTTGACTTCTGAAAACTTTCAAGAACTATGAATTATAGAAAACAAGATAGGTCAAGACTATTCCCATAAACAGAGAGCGTTTCGAATGGAATAAATTTTGTGTGAAATAAAACTTTGTTACAATTCGTGTATTTAATCGAACTTCAGTAAAGAAAACTCATAAGAGTAGCTTTGTCCGGAATAAACCTATTATTCTAAATGTAGAGTTAAAGATAAGTACGGAATGTTTCGAAATTCACAAGAAATGAACGTGTGAACAAGTCCTGTTATTCACCATCGACTATATATATATTTCCGGGTAGGCTATGGTTGATAGGCTATGATTGAATCAGTCCTATGAAAGATTTGTTATGTACGTTTTATAAAAGATGAGTTAAGCATCTGAAGTTATGTGTTCTATATATTTATATTCGACAGCAAGTTGTGCCTGAATTCTAATACTATCAGAAGGAGTTTTGTGCATATTGTAGTAATTTTATTAGTTGAGTTCATGAGTTAGTTGAAGCTAGACCACCATGGAAAACCTGGAGGCATTGGATGGCTGTTTCGTTAGCGTACGAGACCGATAAATATGCTGTTGTTTGCTGTTATACATTAGGTTTATACCTAAACTATCGAAGAAAAACTAAGGTAATTCTAACATTGCAGAACATTCATGGTGCTGAAAATGTCGTGTTAAGACCCATAAAAATAATCCTCATTTAAAAAAAAAATATGGAGAAATTATGACTACATATACTTATACTAATATCACAGAATCATATTAACCCATATTAATTTAGTGTAGAGAAGTTATTCATTTTCTGAAGAAGTGGCTTACACTAAGTCCCAAAATGTGAAAGAAGAATTTTGAATTCTATAAATTTTGATGGAGTTTTGTTCCATCAAAATCATCCACCTGAGCTACAAATCTCCACCATGACAGAATTCTATAAATATTTTACATCTTCAAAATTTGAAAAAAAATCCCATATTGTTAATTTAGAACAACATAGATATAAGTGAACAATATTGTTTTCGATTCGATCCTCATCAGGCTTTACTTTAATATACAGTAATATCTATATAGATATACGAAAATATTAAAACAGTTATGACAATTTACGAATAAATGATTACGGTTCGAGTCCCGCGTGCGGATGAAGAGTCCCATACAAGAACAAATGGAGATCCAGCCTAAATCGACTCATGAATTCAACTATTAAAATAACTATAGTCTCCACAAAGTCTTATTCTGATGAAAGCCATTTAGAACAAGATGTATGAGAGAACAATATTCTTTTCGATTAGATCCTCATCAGGCTTTACTTTAATGTACAGTAATATTTATATGTATATATGAAATTGATTAAACCAATCAAGGCAGTCTATGAGACAACTATAACAGTGGAATAGATTACATAATAAGTGAAAAGTACAAATTGGTGTACTCGTTGCGATAAGAATAACAAAGGCTTGAATCAATGTCTCATAATGGGAATTAGGTCAACGATTAGAAAAATACAGACACTGAAATAACATTCATCAAAATTATTACAAGATTACGTAATAAGTTGTGTTCAGATAATTGGACCGTGAAGTGTATACTTGATAAAAAGAGAAGGGTGAGAAGGAGTAAAGTAAAATAAAACGAAGAAAGACTATGGAAAACAATAGTAAATAAGGTCATTTATTAAGGCCAAGGAAAAGATAAAGGTGTTACAAATTTCTTATGAACACAAAGACTTGGATTGTTGACTCGAATTCCTATAGCTTCTGCTATGTGTTAATTTAAAAAAAAAGGAGTAACATATATAATCCATACACTTTTCTAAACAATACTCCCATTTTTCACTTTATATAAATAACAAAGTTAACTTCACATAGTATTGTATCTTCTCATTGATGTTTAGTACTGCAATTGATCAGTCTTTTATTGGTATATGTGCATACTGTGTGTATTGCCTTGATCTTGCCTTAATTCACAAACATTATATACAAAGATGGATAGTGAAGTTAAATTTCACCCTATTGCACAAGCAAGTTGTTATCAGGACACAGTAGCTAAGTGGATAACGCCATGGCATTTGAAGTGAGCGGTCCTGGGTTTAAGTTCCAGAGTGAACATTAACTCTGAGATGCGGGTACATCCAACCAACGAGTCCCAAAAAAGATGAAACGTGCATCCTTGATTCCACTCCTACTTACTATCCATATTTGCTTATAACAAAATTAACTGTTATTTCCCACTTTATTTCATCCTTGTTCTTCTTGTACGATTTTCCATTCTCTACAAGAAAAAAGAACTCATGTGATAAATGTTCAATCAAAATGATTGTAAGTTTTGCAGGATTCTTCTTCTACTCATTATCATGAAATGAATATTTTGGTACACAGTATGCAATGACTGACGCTTCCATGTTCTTACATTCAAATATATCGAAATATCTAAATATTAATTTTAATCAAACAATTTTTAAAAAGGGTTCAAACACTGTTTCGGAATTGTATAACTGAATGTTAATGCTCATGTGAGTAGTTTAAGAGGAACATCTTAATTGATTGATTACTTTCCACTGTATTGTGGAGAGTGCTGAAGGCCGTTAGCAAGGTGTGTGGTCAGTCGTTCAAGGTCATTATTAATGTGGTTGTAGACAGACATCTAACGTCTTACAAACTCCTGGCAGGTGTTTTCTTATCAGATATTAACCAAACCCTTCACTCATATCTTTCTCCTTGTATATCTTCTGACAGAACGAGAAGTAATTACATTAAAATCCATGCACACAAGCAAAAGTATAAAAGTTCTATAACACCTTACCTATCAAATATACTCTGTGACGAACAGGTTGTTAGAGTCAACCTAATCAATAACCTGTATACTTTAACACACCCCTAATTTGGGAAGTTGTACAGATTCAGATCTTTTTTTCACTTTTTTCCTTTCTTTTTTGTAATTGTCCTATTTTGTAAAGGTAACTTGTTGAAATACCTTATGCTGAGAACTCTATATTGTACCAAAATATAATATTGAATAAAGCCATTAATAATAATAATAAAGCTCGATTATATTGACTTATTAAAAGGTATCATGGTGAACGGGACCATAGGCAGTTGGGGGGGGGGCGACAATCGAATGTATTTGAACATAAAATCACAGAATATCTTAATAAACTCTGAGAACTATAAAGTAAATAAATCATTTGCAAAATGTCAATCAATTCTCTCAAATTTGACTGTTCCTTCATTTCCATACCAATAATTCTCTGTTCTCGTCCTCTTTTCTTCGATTTTTTTTTAAAGAAAATCTTCTACCGCTAGACATATCACTTTTAATCAATGATACATACTACTTATATATTTGTCAATATCAGTAATACATATCACAGTATTACTTAATACCGTTTTTTTTGTTTAGAATACTTACTACTTACTAAATATTTACTACTTAATACATTATTTGTAAAGGACACTATGATAAATGATCTATTCAATGAATGATTGCATCATGTAATATATTTAGGTAAAGTTACTAATCATAGTAACCTTAGTTACAATCGAGTACATGAGTACATCTTATACCCTCTTATCAATTATTGAAATCATATTTTATTAATTATCAAAGTAATAAATTCTTTCCTAAAATGTTTAATATGGTGTGATATTATTATTATTATTATTATTAATTGTTTGAACAATAACAACAAAACAAAATTACTCAGATCACACACACACACATATATTAGATCAGATCAGATCAGATCGAATCGGATCGGATCGGATCGAATCAGATCATTTCTTTAAAACAAATAATTTCATTGATACCGCAAAAATAATATTTTCTTTTTTTCCAATTTCAATACATAGTAATATTG